CCAGAACATTACACTGAAAGACTTTTTGTTTCTTTCTCAATATTTATAATAATTAATGAAATCGTCAATGCATATTTCATTAGTTTATTACTTTTTCTAAAAATCCTAGAAGGACAACAACTAAAAAACCAGTAATAAATCAATATTTTCTGAAAGCTATGAGGCTGTAAAATATTTCTTCAAAAATATAAATAAAATCGGACTTATATGGGTGATTCTCCAGAAACAGGTCACTTTTGATTCTTTGATTAATTAGTTAATAAATATTATCTAGAATTGGTTTATTTTTTTTTTAATTTCTTCATTTTAATGATCTTTAATAAACTCATTATCAATATAATGATATTTTACTTCCCAAAATTTATTTTGTCATCTGAAATATGCTAAAAATATACTTTTGCTCGTTCCACACATGGATTTTGCTATTTTTGAATAAGATTTTTGACATTAAAATTAAAAAAATAAAATTTGTCATTATAGTCATTTTAAAGTATGGCTGAAAAACTGTTATTCCCTAAAAGGGTTTTTAATTTTTCGTCCATTTAAATAAAAAAATGTTTATTTATAATGTTTCTTCGTAAATTTTTTTCTGGATCCGGAGTTGAGAATTTGACTAGTTTTTCGAGGTTTTGCTTGTTATTTTCATTGTAACTAAAGCAATTTTTTGATAAATATGTGTAAAAATCCCAATTGAATAAAAATCAACGGTACTAATTAACTAATTAACTTTTAAATTTATATTATTAAACAATACAATTTGCGTATTTTTATTATGTCTCAACTCCGAACCTGTTTAAAACAATCGTTTTTCAAAATAATTTTGAATTTCAACCTATAGTATCGATAAAAGTAATAAAATTGTATAAAATCCCTAAAGGATTTTTTATTTAGTCCTTAATTAACAAAGTAATTAATGTTTTTCATTTGTTTCTCAACTCCAGCTCTCTCAACTCCGGCCCCCGAAATTTTATTGAGCATGCGCAAGTTTCGCGCGAGCAGAAACGACACTCAACTACAGGGCCGTCATTCAGCTTTTCAGTTCCCTTGCGTTTAAGAAACTTAATTTTTTTTCTCTATTTTTATAAAAAAAAGCCGAGATAAATTTCTACAAAACAATTAATTTTTGCAAAGAAATCATTGTTTTGTTCTCGAAAAATTAAATATTAAAAATTTAATTACATGTGTGCGCAAAAACAATGGTGCCTGGGGCCCCGGCCGCCCTTGCTACGCTATTGCGCTGAAAGTACTACAATACATATTTATCGTTAAAATTACATTAAAAACGGTTTTTAAGCTCAAATATTTATTAGAATCACTTGTTCCAATCATAATTAATAAAAAGGATGCAATAAACATGTATTTTTAAATAATTTTGAAAAAAAAATTCCTTATTCAAAAGTGACCCGTTTCTGGAGAATCACCCATATATGGGGCATTCTATTTTAAAATTATACCCTTAGTAAACAATTGACAATATAAGACATTTTTTAAATAATTATTTCTCCCATTTAATTAAATCAAATTACTTTTGCAATGAGTGGTTTCGAAAGAGAAATTTCTAAACTTTACAATTGTAAAAAAATTTTTTCAAAAAAACATTTAAATAGTATAAAAAATTTAGTTTGAAGGTTAAACTTGTAAATATCTCAAAACACGTTGTCTCCGATTTTGGCAAAATCTATGTCAAAAGAAAGCTTAAATATTCTATTTTTTATTTCCGTAAAGTTTATAATGGACATTTTCGAGAATTTCCAGAAATTAATTAAAATTCTCAGACGTTTCGGAGGTTAAAAAGGATTGAAATTTGTATGAATGGAGAACCATTTCTTTAAGAGCGGATTTTGTTTTTTAAATTTAATTTCCATTAACCTTACATTATTACATCACTTGACATTAGAGAAAAAAATATTGTAAACAATAAATATATTGATCTTTAGCTATTTGCAATTAAAAATTTTTCAAATTTAAAAAAATTATTAAGATTAAAATTGAAGTTTTAAAATTTATTTATTTAAAAATTTCGTAAAAACAAATGCCGCTGTATTTGAACAGAGGTTCTCTATTCATGCAAATTTCAACCCTTTTTAACCTTTGAAACGTCTGAGAATTTTAATTAATCTCTGGAAATTCTCGAAAATGTCCATTATAAACTTTACGGAAATAAAAAATAGAATATTTAAGCTTTCTTTTGACACAGATTTTGTCAAAATCGGAGACAACGTGTTTTGAGATATTTATAAGTTTAACCTTCAAACTAAATTTTTTATGCTAATTAAACGTTTTTTTAAAAAATTTTTTTTACAATAATAAAGTTTAGAAATTTCTCTTTCGAAACCACTCATTGCAAAAGTAATTTGATTTAATTAAATGGGAGAAATAATTATTTAAAAAATGTCTTATATTGTCAATTGTTTACTAGGGGTATAATTTTAAAATAGAATGCCCCATATATTATATTTATTATATTATTATATTATATTTATTATTATATTATACTTATATATATTATATTATATGGGGCATTCCACGGGAGATTTTCATTCAAAATTTTTTTTTCCCGAAACATTTTTTTCGAAATCTATATGAAAAATAAGGATATACGTATTTTTTTATTTGATAAAAATGAAGGAAGTTATGATTTTTTGAAATTTAACGTCAACGATGGAAGTGTGTTTTTGGGACATTTTTTAATCTATTGTACTAATAAATTAAAAATTATGCTATATATATGAAATTTGTTCATTTTTTCTTAAATTTTTCAAATATCTGCTCAAAAATAACGTACCTATAAGAGAAGCAACAAAAAAGTTGAAATTAAACTTAAAAAGTGAGTTTTCTCAAAAGAGACACTTTCGATTTTTAATTTTTTTTTTTGCATTACAATCTCTGGTGACTGAAGAATTTTACAGTTATAATACTGCATGATCAATGTACAGAAATATTGAATCTTTCAGAGCTTAATTTGATTCAATGCTTTAAAGTCTAAGAAATTAAATTATTGAATTTATTAAATTATTCCATCTATCCAAAATGAATCTTTGTGGAGAATCACCCAGAAATTATTTGAAACGTTGAAATTTTAAGTTTTTTTTTTAAGTATGTATTAAGATTTTCTACAAATAGGTTACAACGACTTTAACTGAAATAAATATTTCTAATAAATGAGTGTCCTAATAATAATTTTAGAAAAGGGTTTAATTTGAATTTATAAATATAGCTTAAGTTTCATTAAAAAATATTTAATTATTTAAAGTACATATAAAAGTTAAGATTTATTTCGTTTTAAGAGTATGTGGGCAAAGGACGTTTTTTTGTGGTTTGAAACTTTCTCTGAAATAAAAAATGATTTCGGCTTAAAATTTTGGAGAAATGATTTTGTTTGGTACATGAATCTTGCTGTTCTACTCCTTTACCATAACTTAACGCAAAAATAATAAAAATAAAGCAAAAAATAGTAAAATAATGTATTACATCATAGTTCATTCAGCGGCCACTTGCTCGAATTGGCGCTGTTTACTGGAGCACTGACACACTCAAGCAACGTCCGTGTATGCGCCGCTATGTTTCTTTTCATTTTCGTTTAAAAATCACACTTTTTAAACTTTATTTTTTAATAATTTAACCCAAAATTATGTATTTTTCGGAGAACAGCGAGATTCCTTGTACCCTAATCTATCATCCCTCAAAATTTTAGACAAAAATCTTTTCTCATTTCAGAGTAAAATGTATACATACTACCAAAACACATTTTCCCATACTAGGTCACGTGGGAGGTTCCCACATACCCTTAAGAAATTACACATTATAAGAAGAAAATTATCTTAGTTATACATAAATACTGTCTTTATTAACTATAACACGTAAATTAATAAATCTAGTCATCGTGACTTTTTTTATTACTGTTCCTTTTATCAAAGGAACACGATGACAGTACTTTAGTTACAATTTCATTTTTTTCATTATTCTATTTATATTATTGTTTACTTAAAAATGTATTGCACCAAACTTTTTTTCAGCAGAATTTTATCAAAGTTTGGAGTTTAAATGGTTAAAAAAATTGTCAATCATTTTTTAAAAATAAAATATTTCAACGGGAGAATTTTCACCTACAATAAATGTTTTAAATAATTGACTTTTTGAAGAATTTGATAAAAATAATTCGAATTGAGAGAAATTATTAAAATATTATTGAAAAATATTAATTTGGCGAAGAATTTTAGATAATTTCAAAAATAATTCGATTTTGGAAGAAATAAATTAATTGAAATAAATTTGAAATTAATTTGAACATATTTAAGATTTTTAGAAATAATTGAATTTCAAGAGATTTTTAATTGAAATTTTCGTAAAATTGAATTAATTCAAATTTTTTTTAATAATTACAGACATTAATTGAATCTTATTAAAAAATTGTAATTAAATAATTAAAAAATATTTTAAATAATTGAATTTTAGAAAAACTTCGTTAAAGTTATTAAAAATAATTCATTTGGCGAAGAATTTTAAATAGAAATTTAAAAAATAAATGAATTTCAAAAGAATTACAGTTCAAATTTTAAGAATTAATCAAAATTCAGGAAATTTTAAATTGAAAATTTGTAGGCAATACCTAATTGAATTTTAGAGAATTTTTAATTGAAAAGTGTTTTAATAATTGATTCGAAATACTTCATTAAAATGATTCAAAATAATTAATTTCGTAAAACTTTTTAAATTCAAATTTTTGTAATAATTGAATTTTGTACTAAAAAAATTGTAGGTATTTTTTAAAAATTTAATAAATTAATTATTAATTTTATTTTGTAAAATAAGTCGAAAAAAGTCATATAATTCAAGGCCTATTTTTATTTTTTTGGCAATTTAATTGTGTAAGTTTTTTTTTTTTTGCTAATAATTTTAGAATTTTTTTTTTAAATTTTTAATAGGTATTTTATTTTTTATTATTTTTATTTTTAATATTCCATCCACATCTAAGATTTTTAAAAAAAATTTAATCCTCATACTTTCAAAGTAGATTATTATTTATTATTACATTATAAATGTACAACATAATTGTTTTATAAAAAAATCTAAACCCCTTTAATCTTGAATTCGTATGTTTATTTTGTTAATACTAGCAAAAAAAAATGATCAATATCTGAATTTTGAAAAAGTTCTATTTTACTCTATTACATTCTATTAGACTCTTGTTAGAAATGAAGTACAAGTATCTGATGATCTTGAACTTGAATAAGTTATACAACGTTGATCTTTTGGAGCAACACATTGGAGGGGGGGGAGAGAGATGCATACACACACACATACATATTATTGCATACACTCACCTCTTTTAAAGCATGCGAACAAGAAAGCAGGCAGATCCCTCCTTTCCCTCCTCTCTCTCGTCATTTCTCTAGTTCATTCATGACCCTTTCTGTCGAGGGACCCGGTAAAATACTCTTCGATAGTAAACGATTTTCCTCGCCGCAATGAGGTTCAGCGCCACGCGACCTATCGCGCAACAACCAATTGTCAGCCAATGGGAAATAAGTTGATGAGAAAAAATAATTTACTATCACAATAATTAAAAAAAATAAGCTCAACAAAATAAAAGTAAACCACAATAGATGATTGGTAGAATTGAAAAATTCTGAAAATTTATCAGGAAAATTGAAAATAATTTTATAAAATTCACTCAATGATGTTAGAAATGTATCACCTGCGGCATGGCCGTCTCCACAACACTCATATGACATTTGGTATTATTTATATATGTAATTCACGTTCGTTGGTAATTCTCATACTTTGTTGACAACATCAGATCGACTTGTTATTTACGCGAATAAGAGAAAAAAAAAAAAAAAAAAAAAAACCAGTCGCAAATACGTAATTCCCCCACGACGGGAACGACTCAACACTACATATATATATATGCAGTCCACAAGAGACCATCGACTCGTCTCTTTGTGTGCGGGTGGCTGACTGAAAACGCGCCTGTCTCAACTTAATACACACATATTTATGTAATTTGTCACGAAATAGAGAATTATCATACACATTCAAAGATTGCATTCGTTGATAAGTCAACTGTTTTGGATTGAACGCTTCAGACAATTTATCTGACAAATGACAATCCTATTTTTCTATAATATTTGCAAATAGTTGAGAATCCAATTTTTTTCCTCTTCTTTGATTCGTTCTGTTTAGTAAATTCTGCAAAAGAAACAAAAAATAATAAAATAAATGAATAAAAATTGTTCTTTTCTTAAAAATTAACTCTATCGAGCACATTATTGATAAACTTCTAATTTGGGAGCAAAAAAAGGCGTTTTAGTCGATTTACATTTCCAAAAAAAAAGTCGATTATTTTATTTCAATTAAATTTAATTAGTTAATAAATATTTTACTTTAAATAATTGTTAGTAGATATTAAATTCAATATATTAATTCCTTGAATATTACCAATAAAAATTTATTTCGAATATTTCAGAATCGAACTAAGACAAATTTTCAAAATTATATAATAATAAAATGCTTGGTCTGTCCTTCTGTCCTAACTTGAAGTTGGCCTTTTCTGATTTCACGTGTTTTTTTGAATAGTAATCTTATGAGGTGTCAAATTTTGACAATTCTTTTTCTCATTTTTACCAAAGTTGTATAATTGTGTTTCCAAATTTCGGAATAAGTTTCTTTAAAATTCCAAAATTCAATTCACGAAGCTGAAGTACACAACGTTTACCAACGAAATTTTTTTTAAAGTTCTATATTGATTCAAAAACTGTATACAAATACAAAAAATTTATGTTGAGAAAAAAAATGCGCCAGGAAATTTCGTACAAGATAGTATTTTGAAAAAAATTAATTTTTAAAAATTAATTTTTAAGGTACCAGGGGCCAACGAATACCTATTAAATATTAATTATAAAAACACAGGCCTCGAATTAACTTAAAGACACAAAAAGTCCTTTTAGTCGATTTATATTCAAAAAAAAAGTGAATTTGTTTTTTATTTTAACAAAAATATTTTAGATTTTAAAAAAAAATTTTTTTTTAAATAATAATCCTTTTCGAAGGGTTAAAGTTGAAATTTTTAGAAATTATTAAATTTCAAAAGATATTGTTAATTTTCAAACAATAATTAAATTTTACAGAACTAGAAATAATTTATCAAACAATTTTTGGAAAACATTTTTTAAATTTAATTGAATTTTCAAAGATTTAAAATTGAGATTTTTGAAATTAATTGAAACTTTAAGTATTTTGTAATTAAAATTTTAGATGATTTCACTAAAAATTTATTAGAAAATGCGGATAAAATACAATAATTTGAAAATCATTTTTAATTGAAAAATGCTTTCAGATAGTTGAAATTTCAAAGAATATTATTAAAATAGTTAAAAATAATTGAATTTCCTTAGAGTTATAATTGAAATTATTAAATTTCAAAAAAAAAAAAATCTCGATGGAAAATTTTAGAAATAATTAAATTTTAGATGCTTTTAAATTTAAAATATTGAAAATTCAATTAATTTTGAATTCAAATTTTTGAGAATAATTAAATTTTATTTGATTTTAAATTTGGAAAATAATTGAATTTCAGTTCATTGTGAAATGAAAATTTTGGGAAATAATTGAATTTTAATTGAAATTTTGGATAATAATTTAATTGAAGTTAATTTTTGATTGAAAATTTGGATAATTAATTTTGAATAGAAGTTTTAGATATAATTGAATTTTATTTTATTTTAAATTAAAAACTTGGTAAATAATTAAATTTTAAATTGAAAATTTTGGATAATTATTGGATTTTTAATTGATTTTGAATTAAAATTTCGGGTAATAATTGAATTATAGTTTATTTTGAATTGAAATTTTTAAAAAATAATTCAATTTTATTGTGATATTTTTTTTTAAATTATAAACAATTGTTAAATTTCATAAAAATTTTAATTGAAAAATAATTTTGATATAATTGAATTTGTGATATATTTCATTAAAATTATTAAAAATAATTAATTTAGTGAAGAATCATTTTAGTTCAAAATTTGTTAAATAATTGAATTGAAGAAGATCTGAAGAAGATCTACATTTTATACTAAAAAATTTATTTTATTTACATTTTTTTTCAAATGTAAAAAAATGTCACATTTTATTAAAATAAGTCGATAAAAGTCGATAATTTTTGAAAAAAGGCGGAAAAAGTCGTATAATCCGAGGCCTGTAAACATATAATTTTCATTATTATCATTTAATATGTAATAATATTCTAATAAATTAAATTATTATTGATAATATTAATCTTTAATTTCTTTATAACAAACAATGAAATATTCAATTTGGCGCGCTTGCGCGCGTTTAATTTTGCTAGTTTTAATTAATTCAAATAAATTTCTAAAAAAAAATATTCTCAAAGTTCAATTTTTAAAATTTTTTGAAGTCGTATTTAAGCAATTTATTTGAATTAAAAGTTTTGTCACTGTTTTTAGTTTTAATGATGAAACAAATTCCGGACAATAATTAAGTTTTATAGATTTTTAAATAATTAAATTGTAAAAGATTTTAAATTTGAAAAAAATTGTCTGCTAATTTAAATTTCTGTCGTTTCTTTTTTCTAATTTCTGACAACAATTTAATTCTATAGTTTTTATTTGAAACTTTTTTAAATAATTGAATTTTAAAATATTTTGTTAAATTTCGGGCAATAATTAAATTTTACAGAATTGAATTTAGATGAAATTAGATGAAAATTTTGTAGAAACAATTAAATTTTAAAAGGTTTTAAATTAAAATTTTTGAAAATAATTCAATTTCAAGTGATTTTGAATTGAACATTTTTTGTAATTTTAATTGACAATTTTTTTTTTAATTTAAAACAATTATTAAATTGGTATTTTTATTAAAAATTTGGAAAATATGCAAATTTTTGCCTGATTTTCATTGATTTTTTTTTTTTTTTTTTAAGTTTTTAACTAATTATAATTTTGAAAAATAATTAAATTTTTAGAAAATAATAGAATTTTTGACCGACAATAAATAATTTTTTGGAAATAATTTAATTTATAGTAGATTTGAACTAAAATTATTGAAAATTGAATTTTTGTCTAAATTGAACTTAATTTTTTATAAATAATTTAATTTTTGAAAGATTTAAATTCAAATTATGAAAAAAAATTAATTTTTACCTAATTTTTATTGAGATTTTTTGAAAAAATAAATTTTCGACAAATTATGATTCAAATTTTGCAAATAATTGATATGTCGAAGATTTACATTTCAATTTTTTTAAAGTAATTGAACTTTAAGAGATAATTGTTTCAAATTTTCTGTTATTTCTGTTACTGAAGACTTTATTGGAAATTATAAGCAAAAATTAAATTTCAAACGTTTTTTTTTAAATTGAAAAATGCTTTCAGTTAATTGAATTTTCGAAGCATATTATAAAAATCATTAAAAAATAATAGAAATTCGGAAGAATTATTATAATTGAAATTATTAAATTTTCAAAAAGTTTTAGATGGCAAATTTTAAATTCAAATTTTTGGTAATTTTATTTGATTTTTTTAAAATTGAAAACAATTGTTCAATTTCAGAAAATTTTTAATTGAAAAATAGTTTAAGATAATTCAATTTGTGAGAAATTTCATTAAAATTATTGAAAGTAATTAATTTAGAAAAAAATTTTAGTTAAAAATTATGAAAATTAAATTTATTATACATTTTTTCATTTTATAAATCACAAGAATCACTAAAATTTTTTGTTTCTGTTTTTTAAAATTTAATTATTTGTTTATTATAATAAATTTATTTCCTACATAAATAAAGTTGCGAGTAAAAAAAAATTCTTTAAAGTAATTGAATATTAAAATTAATTGAATAAGAAAAATATTAAAATTATTTTAAATAATTGAATTTAAAAATGGAAGTCTAAAAATGAAATCTACACGCGCGCAAGGTTTCAATAAATTAAAATTAAAAAAAAAATGTCTGATATTTTTTATGCTTTTTTTATATTTTTCTTTAATACTATTAATTTATTTTAACGTTTATAAAAAAAAACATTCACAATTTTTAGAATGACATCATCAAAATGTAGTCTACATTTTTCAGACTAAAAAAACAAAAAATTCTCTTCGTATAAATATCTCGCGAAACTAGTTTTCGTTTTTGCTAATAATAGATTACAGAAAAAAAATAAACAAGAATTGTAAATAGTAATTTTTAATTTTTTTAAATCCATTGTTAAATGATATGAAAATTTTATAGGGATCAATAAAAATTAGATTAAAAAAAATTGAGATAAAAGAATATCATTTTGAAGCAAAACAAAAAAAAATTCATAAAATATTAGAAAGTGAAATGATTTCATTCGCCAAAAAAGAGGGCTTCACAAGTAAGTTACAACGAATCATTCAATTCCACGAAAGCAACTGTGAAAGTCGTTTAATTACAGACTTTTAATGCGCCGACATTTTTGCTCTCAACTGCGTTTTTTGTCTCTTTTTACAAATATGGAAACTGACAATTTTGCGTCGCTCAGAAATAAAGATTACTATTTTTCTTTTTATCTTCGATGAAGATAAAAATTGAATCAATTTTAAATGAAGGGACCACAGGAATTTTAACGTATTGAAATTTTCATTGTTATTAGGCTGAATTTTTTTTCTAACATTATTTAGAATTCAAAAATATTTTACATATTATAAAAATTTTTTTTAAATATATATTTTTGATCATTTTGAATTTTTTTTTAAAATCCATACGATTGATTGTTCAAAATCATAAGAAAAGTGTAAAAAAATTGTCGATAAAAAATATTAAAAATTGTGAAAGAAGTAAAAATTTCAATTTTTCCTGAATTTTAAGTAAAACGACGAAAATTTCAATTTCACTGTTACCATCCCTTAATATGAAAATATTTTAATTAAAATTTTTTATCGAATTAAAATAATATCTCACAATGCAATATTGGAAGAAAAAAATTATTAACTGTTGAAAAAAATCATTTAAATTATTTTAAAATAAATAAAATGCAAGAAAGGAACATTAATATTATTTTTCATCGAAATAAATTTTTATGACGATATCAAGCTTAAAAATACTTATAAAAAAATTGCATAATAATACACTAAAATTTGATAATTGTGTTTTTTATGTGTTTAAAATTTTCTATCATAATATTTTACAATTTAAACATTTACAAGTAATAATTTCTTAAATGCAAAACAATTTTAGTATAAAACATTTTTTTTTTTTTATTTATCTTACCGTCTTATTTCTTCTCATCGAGATTAAATTTAGTTTTTAGTTTCTCTAGTTCGTCTTGCTTTTTGTCCAAGTCAACTCTCTTGAATGCCTTATTACTTTGATAGTACAAAACTACTAAATATCGATTACAAACATTGAAACCACTTAAGTGATCACATGCATTTTTAGCATCAAAAATATCCTCGTATACAACAAATGCAGTGCCTCGTGTTTCAGCAGTATTACCTCTGTAAAAATAATATTTCATTTACTTTTAGAAAAATTCAATAAAAACGACAAATTTCAGGGCTGCAATAATTTAAATCAACGAAGCTGAAATACGCAACATTTATGATAAACGATTTTTAAAGAAACAATTTTTTAAAATGAAAAATTCTATAATTTTTTGACTAAAAAATATTTTTTTATAATTTGTTGATTAATGAAAAATACAAGAAATATTTTTTAGGCAAAAAATTATAGAATTTTTCATTTTAAAAAATTATTTTTTTTAAAATTGTTTATCATAAACGTTACATACTTCAGCTTCGTTTAAATCAAAAAATCTCTAATATTAAAATTTTTTAAACATATTTTTAATTTTATATTTAATTTATTTTCTGCATTCAATTCTAGATACTCTAAATTTTAAAAATCATCTTTTAACCAAGCCTCGAATCGACTTTAAGGCGCAAAAAAAGTTGTTTTAGTCGATTTACATTCCAAAAAAAGTCGATTTTTTTATTTTAATTAAATTTAATTAGTTAATAAGTATTTTACTTTTAATAATAATTAATGTTATTAGATTTTAAATCCATTTTATTAATTCCTTAATAAAAATAATTCTATAGAAATATTTTCATGAATATTTATTTCGAATATTTCAGAATCGAAGACGTAAATTTTCAAAATTTTAATTAAGTAGAACAAGTTTCTAAAAAAAAAATTCTGACAACAATTCAATTTAAGAGTTTTTATTTGAAACTTTTTTAAATAATTGAATTTTCAAAGATTTATAATTCAGAATTTTGAAATTAATTGAACTTCAAGTGATTTTTAATTGCAATTTTTGGTGGAGAAGAATTTATTAGAAATTACAGACAAAAATTTGAATTAAAAATTTTTTAATTGGAAAATGCATTCAGATAATTGAATTTTCGAAGAATATTATAAAAAATTTTAAATCATTAAAAATAATTAAATTTCGTAGGAATAATAATTGAAATTATTAAATTTCAAAAAGTTTTAGATGGAATATTTTAATAATAATAAATTTTAAAAGGTTTTAAATTGAAATTTTTTGGTAATTTTATTTCATTATTTTTTAAATTGTAAACAATTGTTGAATTTAATAAAATTTTTAATTGAAAAATAATTTAAAATTATTTCAGTTAAAAATTTGTTAAATAATTGAAATAAAAAAGATATGAAGAATATCTGCATTGTACACTAAAAAAAACGCATTTCGTTTAAAAATTTTGTAAAAAAAAATGCAAAAAAGAAAGTCGAAAAAATCGCATTTTATTAAAATAAGTCGAAAAAGTCGTATTTTCGAAAAAAAAATTCCGAAAAATTCGTATAATTCGAGGCCTGTTTGACCTGTATTGGCAATTTAATTTTTAATTAAACTTAATATAAATAAATTTTACCATACAAAGTTATTGACTTTTCAAAAATAGAAATATTTCTTTTTAAAAAACTTTAGTTTAAATTTTGTTATAAAATTTCTAATATATTCTGAAATAAAAAAGTTATAATTACTCAACATTTTTTTTACGGAATTATTGATTTTTTAAAAATTAACAATTTTTAATTCAAAAATTTTATTTTCCTTGCAATTTTTTTTTTAATATTTCCTGATGCTTATATTATTGAATTTATCGGTATTTATTAACAAAATGAAACTTTTGAAAAATTGAACGTAAGTAAAAATAAATTCGATTTAAATAAAAAAAAAAAATCAGATTTAAATTTGAAAAAATCGGTTTTTCTTTTTAAATAATGAGTTTTTATCAGCCCTGGAAAATTTAATATGAAAATATTGTTATTTTTATAGACTACTTAATTTGAATAAAGAATAGAAAAAATTTACTAACACTCTAATTTGTCTAATGGCTCCGTATTTCCCGAAAATATCGTACATTTCTTCTGCGCTAATTTTATAAGGCAAATTTCTCACATAGAGAATTCTATTTACTTCTGGGGGCAGCCTTACCTGAAATAAATAATACAATGATATTTTCTTTCTAACAATAATTATTATAAATAACACTGAAAATGCATAAAAACTAAATAATATATATACGAGAACTGTGTAAGTGAGTTAAGGTTATGATGAGACAATTTTCAAATTTCACATAAACGAATATTTTGCAAAGAAATTGTTTAATTAAAAAAACCTGACTGTAAGATTACAACGTTATGAAGAAATATTTCCAACGTTAAATAGATTAACAAAAAATTAAGTTTATTTACATTTGTGTCACATTACTATACGTTAAACGTCGTATCGATGTTGTTTCGCATCAATAAGTACACTTTTCAGTTAATTCACAAATCAAAATTCTTACTACTTTCACAAAAAACAAATAAAAAAAAAATGATTTGCAAACCATTTTTTCAATTTATTAACAGTTTATTGAAATTTTTCTCAGTACATAAGTAAAGAGGTTATATTAGCGATAATATTTTGGTAAAAATTTCTAAAATTACATATCAAAATTAATATTTTTTGTAATACTTACATTTGCCCGACGTTGCAGCATTGCCATAGCCATTTTGATAATTAATTTTTTACAATTTGCAAGTGAAAATAACAAATTTTTAACACATTTAGCACAAAGTCAACAGTAAATAAAGCATGAATCTAACCTAACCTAACCTAACCTACACGCATATTCGGCAATCGGCAATTCGGCATATTCCACAAAAGCGCATTCTTAGGCTCAATGTTGCCAACGTTATAGAAATAATTGTTTCTTTTGAATATACTTTGCATTGTTATTATGAGTTATGATTCAACTATTTTTATATGAAATGTAATTTAAAAAATTCATTTTTTGATTAATTTTATTTTAGTAAAAATTATTGTTCGTCTTTAATAATAATACCATTTTACAAAATAAATAAATTACAGTTTCATATGTTGGTAGTAATTATTTTCGAGGCGTTAATTTGAAAAAGAAATTTAAATGTTTAATTTTTTACAAAGAGAAAGAAGCACAGAGACAAAAGAATTTCTTACGAATATATTGAAAATCGATTTTTAGGATATTTTTTCTATTTCATTGGAGTAAATTTCTAATTTAAGCTTGCAACCAAAAAATCTTTATTTCTTTTTTTGAAGAAAAAAAAACAGGTTAAAAGAAAATAATTTTCGATTTTTTGAAAAGTGCATTTTTTTCAAACAATTTCTATAATAATAATAATAATAAAGGTCTCGGATAAACTTTATTTTAATTAAAATTTAATAATTTTAATAATTTCTCTATTTCAATTATTTAACAAATTTGTAACTAAAAATTCTTCACTAAATTAATTATTTTTCATAACTTAATGAAATTCTTCACAAATTCTAATCATCATAAACTATTTTTCAATTAAAATTTTTATGAATTTTAATAATTGTTTACAATTTTTAAAAAATTAGCATATAAAATTACCAAACATTTTTAATTCAAAATCACTTGAAATTTAATTCTTTACAAAAATTTCAATTATTTTTAATGATTTATAAAATATTCTTCGAAAATTTAATTAAGTATCTGTTGTATTTGTATATTTTAATACAATCTTTTGACATTCAATTATTATTTTCAAAAATTTAAATTAAAAAGCTTGTAAAATTTAATTATTTTTAAAATATTCAATTTAAAATTTTTTGAAATTTTTTCAATTACAACTCTTCTGAAATTGAATTATTTTTATAATATTCTTCGAAAATTTAACAATCTGAAACCATTTTTCTTTTAACAAGTTTTCAAATTATTGTATCTTTGTCTGCAATTTCAAACAAATTTTTTAGTAACAAAAATTATCAAAAATTTTAAATTAAAAATCACTTGAAGTTCAATTAATTTCAAAAATCTAAATTGTAAATCTTTGAAAATTCAATTACTTTTAAAAAATGTTATCTAAAATTATTTATGATAAATTATTTTTAGTTCTGTAAAATTTAATTATTGTCTGAAAATTAAAAAAATCTTTTGAATTTCAATTATTTCTAAAAATTTCAACTTTAACTCTTTCAAAATTATTATTTAAAAAAACATTTATTAAAAAATCTGTAAAACTTAATTAAGTATTGCCTGAAATTTTTTTGACCATCAAAACTAAAAACTATGACAAAATTTTAAATTCGAATAAAAATTGCTTAAAATAGATTTTTGAAAAAATTAAAAAAATTGAACTTAAAATTTTTTTTTTAAGAAATTTGTCCTACATAAATAAAATTTTGAAAAATAATTTCATAAGAAACAAGGTGATATTAAGTAAAAATAAAGTTATATTCATTTACTAATTTATTAGTTTTAATCGTAATTAACAACCACTGCAGTAGCAACACGAGTTTTTACGCTGTTTTACAGTATAATGAATAGGATAATTCGACGGATTACACTTGTCCTCTATTTACATTAAAAATGTTAATTAATAAAAATATTATTCCCGATTTTTCTTACATATTTAATTGATCGTATATTTTTGAGTTTTTAAGTACGTATAGTTTTAAATTAAAATCATTTCTTCTAATTAAATTATATTCCCTATATTATTTTTTTTTTTTTTTATTCAGATGTTAAAAAAACACAAATACATAACGTTGATCAGATCATTTGACAAACAAAAAAAATATATCGAGCATCCGATAATTTTACAAAATATTATTTCTCTGCAGTTTGCAACAAACAGATTTTCTTTTTTCACTTAAAATGAAATGCGTCTATAGTAAAAAGTTTTTTTTTTTGTTTAACAATTTTTTTTTCCAGACATTCTTAAGCTAATAACAAAACAAATAATTCACTTAAATTATTAAAATTAACATGTAAGTGTTTTTCCATATAATTTTAAATGAAGAATAGAAGATAAATAATTTTACGGAAGACAAAAAACGACGTTAATTTGAGTAAAAATAAAACGTTTTTTATTCCATTGATCTTTCTATTATTTATCTGATATTCTTTATTTAAAATTAATGTAGGATTACTTTTTTTTCCACACAAACGTTTGATGACTATATAATTTAGAACATTCTATTTTCATTTGACTAATTGTGAATTAATTTGAGCAAAAAAGCACCTTCCATAGTCGTACTCTTCCTTTCATTCACTTTCTTACTAGAGCTCTTTTCACACACAAATGGGGTGTAATGGGAAGTTATAAAGTGATTATTCTCGCATGGATATTGCTAGTGGAATGAAAAATGGCCCCCATAGCCCTTTCGCAGTTACGACTAAAGTTAAAAAAAATTTTTTTTTTTTTTTTTTTGTTCTTTTGAGTAGAAATTAAGTTAAACTTTGTTGAAGGCAGCTATGTCCACACTTTGAACAAAGTCTTCTATTTCTTGGATTTGTTCAGTTAACCAGTCAATGGAAACTTTGTCATCTTCAACGACACAGGAGATTTGGAGTTTATGAATTCCATAAGCCAAAGGTACTAATTTAGCTGAAAATAAGAGAAAAATTACAGGTCTCGGATCGGCATTCAGGCGCAAAAAAAGTCGACAAAAAGTCAATTTTTTTGTTTTAATTAAATTTAATTAGTTCAAGGTGTCTAACAAGGATTGAGACAAAAATTCCCGAATATTTCTTGACTTTTTCAAATTTAAATTTTTGTAATTAATTGAACTTTAAGTGATTTTTAATGATTTCTGTTACTTAAAAATTTATTAGAAATTGCAGACAAAAATACAATAATTTGAAAACTTTTTAAATGAAAAATGGTTTCAGATAATTGAATTTTTGAAGAATATTATAAAAATCATTAAAAATAATTGAAATTTTTGCAAATTATTAAATTTCAAGTGATTTTGAATTAAAAATTTTTTAGTAATTTTAATTGCTAATTTTTTTAAAATTATAAACAATTATTAAATTTCATAAAAATTTTAATTGAAAAATAGTTTAAGATAATTGAATTTGTGAAGAATTTCATTAAAATTATTAGAAATAATTGATTTAGTGAAGAATTTTAGTTCAAAAATTTGTTAAATAATTAAAATAAAGAAGATCTGAAGAAGATCTGCATTGTATACTAAAAAGAAAACGTATTTGTGCGATTCCAAGTGAGATTTTGACTTTTTCGGAGTAGGTTAACCGATTGCAATGAAACTTTGGAATTTTGTTATATATAGTAAGACTAATCTTTAACGTAAATTTCAGCTTAAAATATTTGTTAGTTTACGAGATTTGCAATAATAACAAAAAATTTAAAACTGCTATATCTTCCGTTCTAATAAACGGATTGAGGTCTACTTTTTTTTAAAATGTCAAGGAAAATGAGAGGAATAAATCTCTTTCAGAACATTTTTTTATAATTTTACAACTAAAAAAATTATTAAATAATAATTGAATAACTTTCGCGCGACTAACTAAAATTCAATCACTTAAACGCTAAAATGATCTTACCTGTGTTTTCTTTAATGTTCCAAAGGATTTTTATTGTAAATGTAAGTTTAACTTAAGAAATTTTATTAATTTATTAGTATAAACAATTGAGATTTCTGCTAGTTGACGTGCAGACGACATTGCGCACGCAGCATTCTCACATAGCCAATTTAGTCCACGAATCACGTCAGTTGGCTATGTGAGAATGCTGCGTGCGCAATGTCGTCTGCACGTCAACTAGCAGAAATCTCAATTGTTTATACTAATAAATTAATAAAATTTCTTAAGTTAAACTTACATTTACAATAAAAATCCTTTGGAACATTAAAGAAAACACAGGTAAGATCATTTTAGCGTTTAAGTGATTGAATTTTAGTTAGTCGCGCGAAAGTTATTCAATTATTATTTAATAATTTTTTTAGTTGTAAAATTATAAAAAAATGTTCTGAAAGAGATTTATTCCTCTCATTTTCCTTGACATTTTAAAAAAAAGTAGACCTCAATCCGTTTATTAGAACGGAAGATATAGCAGTTTTAAATTTTTTGTTATTATTGCAAATCTCGTAAACTAACAAATATTTTAGGCTGAAATTTACGTTAAAGATTAGTCTTACTATATATAACAAAATTCCAAAGTTTCATTGCAATCGGTTAACCTACTCCGAAAAAGTCAAAATCTCACTTGGAATCGCACATTTTGTTTAAAAATGTTGTAAAAAAAATGTAAAAAAAAGTCGCATTTTATTAAAATAAGTCGGAAAAAGTCGTATAATCCGAGGCAAATCAGTTGCGTAGAAATTCTTTAATTAAATTGTTTTTTTTTCAATATTAGATTTAAATTTTAACTGATAATGAAATGTATGAAAGAATATGTCCAGTCAATGAATAAATAAATAATGATTAATAATCAAGGAAAATTTAAAGAATGTAAAAACCGGAAGTTCTTGAAAAACCGAAAGGCGTGGACTACTAATAAATAATACAAAGAATTATACCAGCTCCCCAAAGAAGTCCTTCAGTTACGATTTTCCTAACTTCGGTTTCCATTGCTTTCATGTCAGTCTCGTCATCCCAGGGCTTGACATCCAAAATTATATTCGATTTGGCAATGAGGGCCGGTTCTAAAATAATTTACTCAAATTATCACACATTTTTAAAAAATTTTTTTAAATAAATGAAAGATTTTTAAATTAAAATTTAAAAATTAAAAAAAAAAGGAGGAAACTTACTCTTCGACTTCTTTGCATTGTAAGCAGCAAGACGTTCCTCTCTGATTTTTGCGGCCTCTGCATCCTCGCCCTGATGATAATAAATATTAAATTAATAGTATAAGAATCTAGAGCTTTGCCCCCTGATAAAACAAATATTCAAATGAAAAATAAATATTAACACTCTCAAAAGCAATAAAGAACATTAAAACCTATTTTTCTCATAAAATGTATGGTCAAAAATAAAAATTAAAAAAAAAAAAAAAATGAAATAAAAAATATAATATAAATTCTAAGGTCTGAATTTTCATTATTCGGGAATATCTGGTGTAAAAAATGTTGTCTCGTATCCTATAAAAAAATTGAAATTAACATATTTTTTAAACCTGAATAAAGTGTAAGTGCACTATATATAGATATAAATAGAACAAACAAGCAATATCAGTCCTAGTGCTTTTATGTGATACGAACAATAATTTAAATAATAATTTTTGCAACAATTGCAAAATTACATTTACATCATCTACGTTACATTTCTAGCTTCCCACTTGCCTCTGAATCAGACCCAAATAGATCTACGTCATCGTCATCATCATTTTCCGCAGCTTTTACTTCTTTTTTAACACATACTTCGGGAGCTGCAATTGTTGATAATTTTGGTTTCTCCAAATCAGTTACACGTATCTCTAATTTCTCAACACGTTTCATTAATTCTTGCATTCCTATAAACAAAATAATAAAATACTTTAAAGTAAATTGTCTTCATAAAATCAAACAAAAAGACTTAAAAGAATTTTTTAAATACTTTATGGAAAATTAGAGAATTATTGCCTAAAAATGTTTTAAATAATTGAAATTCAGAAGAACATGATAAAAATTATTTGAGTTGAAACAATTGACTAATATTATTGAAAAATTTTAATTCGGTGAAGAATTTTAGACGATTAAATTTTTTTTTTTAATTTTCAAAGTTACATATTTAAGATTTTTAGAAATAATTGATTTTAAATTGAAATTTTTGTAGAATTAAATTGATTCAACCTTTTTTTTTTACAAATTACAGATAATAATTGAATATTTAAGATTTTTAGAAATAGTTGATTTTAAATTGAAATTTTTGTAAAATTGAATTGATTCAGACTTTTTTTTTTACAAATTACGGATAATAATTGAATATTACAAAATTTTTAATTAAATAATTGAAAATATTTTAGATGATTGAATTTTAGAAGAACTTTGTTAAAATTATTAAAAATAATTAACTTGTCGAATAATTTTAAATAAAAATTAAAAAAATAATTTAATTTCAGAAGAGCTACAATTCAGATTTTTAGATTTAATTGAATTTCAGAAGATTTTTAATTGAAAATTTTGTTATTTTGAGATGCTGATGATTTTTTAAAAAAATTTTTGACAATAATTAAATTTTAGAGAATTTGTAATTGAAAAATATTTTTAATTTTTGAATTTTCAAACTTTTTAATTCTTTTTATGAAGCAAGACACTTTTTTATTTAAAACATCAATAAATAAAAAGAATAAACATTATAATAAATTAGGTATTATTAAACGTACTATTTTTAAGTTCCTCATTTTCTTTCTCAAGAAATGTCACACGAGACGAGTCACTGTCATTTGATGGAACTTTTGCCATTGCTTCGATTCCAGCCATCTGTAAATAATATAATTTTTATTTAAAATGTAATTATTATATTTGATTTAAAATGACTTTAAGAAGAATTCTCACAAAATGTATAAATAAAATTTTGACAAAATTAAAACCTAGAAAAATAATAAAAGAAAATTAAATATTACATAGAAGGAAAGAAATGAAAAAGCAGAAAATATTTAGAAAAGAGATAATGAAAATTGATTAGCGAAGCTGATGAAACAAAATACATATTAAAAAATATAAGGGGTGAGTATTAAGCACAATACTCACACATTGTAAAGATTTTTTCATGTGTTGCTGAGCCTTGGTGATTTCATCAACTAAACTTCCACCAGTAGTAGAAACAGCAAAGCAAGTAGTTCCTTGATTTCCCTAAATTTACCGATATTCAAGATAAACTAACACCAAAGCCAATTATTGTATTACAAATTATCGTTATATATATTCTCACTGACGTTAAATGAAAATTTCAATTTCAATGATAAATTACACATAATTAAGAATCAAATTTAAAATTATTATTCAATTTTCCAAAATTAAATCTATTTATCAGTGAAAATTATAACAATAATGAAAAAAAATGTGCAATAAAATTTTTGATATTAAAATTTTTTTCACTAAATACGTGCCGATTTTATAAAAATAAAATTAACAAATTTAAAACAAATTTTTTTTTTATTTATCGATATTATTTTCGTTTTTGTAGTTTTACTACTGTCCTGAACAAATAATTTCGACCCCCCCCCCCCCCCATTGATAAAATATTTATTCTAACGCTAGTGGAGTAAATGTTAATTCAGAAAATTCTTCTTTATGATTTTTTTTTTTAAAATTGTATGCAACAAAAAAAATCAATTTTACAGGCTTCGAAGCGTAATAAGAGACTAAGAAAATTATAAAAAAGTATAATTTTTTTTTTTTTAAAAGTATCCCCAAAATTGAAAAAAAGTATAAAAAAGTGGCATCTTTAAATGAAGTAAAATTAGTTTTCAAAGTGTAAATATTTTCTTGTCTAAAAAAATTGAAAAAAAAATTCTGAGGAATAAAATTAACATCATTTTTCTCCTGATTATTTAAAAAAAAAAACTCTATTGTTAAATTTCGATTAACTTTTGGTTTTTGGTACAACGGAAGGAGAGTATGATTATTCTATAAAAATGATTTTTCACATAAATTTTTATTTTACAAAATAGCATTTAATACAGAATTTTTTTTTAAACGAATGTTTACTCAACGGAATTTTCAGAGTACCGAATTTTTATTTGACAGAATTTTTATTTTACAAAATTTCTCTTTACCCAACTGTTTGTTTGAAAAGAATTCTAATTTAACTTATATCATTAATTTATTAGAATTCTCATTCAGTAGAATTTTAAGTAATTCGAATTTTTAAATCCTAGAACTTGAAATCGGAAGCTTATATAAAATATTTAGTATTTTAAAATAACAATTTTAATTAAAAATCTCCAATAATAAAATTATTTCTAAAAATCTTAACTCCAACTCTTCCAAAAATTCAATTAATTTTTAAAATTTGTATCTCAAATTCTTTGCTAAATTAATAATTTCAATAAATTTTATCCAATTATTAAAAAATTCAATTAAAGAAAACATTTTTTAATTAAAAATTCTCTAAAATTCAATTACTGTTTAAAACTTTGTTAATAATTTTCAGCAATTTTTTTAATTTAATAAAATTTTAATTCAAAATCTTGTAAAATTCAATGATTAAAAATATTGATTCAAATTTTTTGTTGAAATAATTATTTCTATCTATTTCTAACAACTTTTATCAAAATCTTGGCATTTGAATTATTTAAAATATTTTTCAATTCAAAATACCCTAAAATTCAATTATTGTCTGAATTTCGGTTAAATTAGGAATTATTTTAAAAAAAAACAGTTGGGTAAAGAGAAATTTTTTTAAATAAAAATTATGTCAACAAAAATTTTGACAAATTAAAAATTCTATTGATTAAAAGGTCGTTTAAAAAGAAATTATATGTTAAATGCTATTTTGAAAAATGAAAATTTGTGTAAAAAAATAATTATATAAAGCAGTAGTTGACGCGGCTAATAATAAATCATCAATTTGTCGAGCTTTTAAGAATCAAAAAATTCGCTAAAATTTAAAATTCTTGAATTCTGTCATTTTTTAAATTATTTTTTGAAAAAAGTAGCATCTAGTGGCTTTTGGCCAAAAGTTGAAAAAAAGTATCAAAAAAGTAAAAAAGTGTGTCACTTCGAAGTCTAATTTTATTAATTCCAAAGAAAGGAGAATTCGAGGCGAGAAATCGTTTTAAGAAACGATAATTTTGAAAGAAAAAAGAAAATTTAAGGAATTAAGAAAAATTTAAAAATTCCCAAAATAAAAGGAAAATTTTTGTGTAAAGTAGATAAATTTTACGATTTGATTTTACGAATCAATAGAAAAATTTAAAGGAAAAAAAATTTGTTTTAAAGAAACGAAAATCGCGGTTAATCAAATTCCCCGCATGATAAAAATTAAAGTCGAAACCAACAAATTTTTTAATTTCAAATACTCAATATAGTAAGAGATTTTAAATTAGTAAAAATATGTCCAATTTATAATCGAATATTTAAACGAAACAATATTGCAACACAGAAAGTATAACACAGAAATGCAGAGTATAAAAAATTTAGTATTATTAAAAATCAAGCAAATAAGCAACAGATTTAAGAACATGCAATAGAATTTATACAAACACATCTATAATATAATATCTAATATAAAAGCCTGTATAATCCTTTATCAGGTAATGTGTTGTTTTGTTTTTTTTCTGCTCAAATTTTTTATTAAAATTTTTAAAATGAACAAAAGTGATTTTTAAATAACAATTCTTCTAATCTAAATTAAACCAATTATTCAACAGTAAGAACATGAAAATAGTTTCGTGCAAAATTAAAAGTCAAAAAAATATATATTATTAAAATAATATAATATGCACTTTGTCAAAAATTGTATGAATCACAAAATTCATCAACACATTTTTTATATACCTGAGTAATTAATTTTTCTTTGGACTCTTGAAAATTAATTTTATCTTCTTCCTTACATCTGCTCTTTTTGTCAGCCTTATTTTTTTTTTCTTTGGCTTCTTTTAGTTTAAGTTTTTTAGAATTAACATTGGAAATAATTTCCTGTTCTTTTGGTTTTGTTTCGAGAACAACTTCTTTTTCTAAAATAGATTCCTCTTTTTTATCAATTGATTTAGAATTCTTTTTTTGGTTCTTAACATTATGAACAGTTTCATTAGAAACATTGTCAAAAACTTTATTTTCCTTATTTTTTTTAGGCTTCGATTTAGTTTGATTATTATTAGAATTTATAATACTTGAATTCTCAGCAGATGACAAATTATTAGGATTAAGTAAACATTGATCTGCATTCTTACGAGACACCTTCTTGCAATAAGTTCCAAGCTATGGAAAAATATGAAAAGAGATCTTTTGCGAAAGTACTCACTATAGTTATAATCCCTGCAGTGTTTTTAGTTTTTTTTTTTTTTTTTTTCAAGTATATTGTTAGTACTCTTTGGAATATTATAACTGATCTTAGAAAAACATAAAATTTATATATTGATTTAATAAAAAATTAGTCGATTTTATGAGTTTTTCATTAAAATGTTATTCAGGTAGTTTTTTTTTTAAATTTCAAATTAAAAACAAAATGTTACATATTATATTTTGAAGGATAACATTTAGTTTTTCTAAGTTCATTATAATGATGCATAGAGACAGGAACTTTATGCTTTTCACAAATTATGCCTTTAAAAGTTTAGTTTTATTTTTTGCTTATGTTTTACATCTGACAAATTTTTACTTAAGCTCAAAATTATAAAATATATTTAATCTAATAATATTATGAAAAAAAAAAATTAAGGATTTTTCAACGTTTTTAAAGGTCAAAAATCATTTTTTTTTTGTTTTGTTCAATGTCCACTTTCAACGTAGAAAATATAAAACTATTTTTTTTATTTATCACGATAAAATAATCATATAAATGAAAATTACGCGATTGCGATAAAAAAAAGAGTAAACATTGTAAAAAGAAGTATAATTTTGAAAAATTTTAATTATTGGAAGAAAAAATTTTTAAATTATAAATTTGAAACTGGTCAAACGAAGTACGCAATGTTTATGATAAACGATTTTTAAAGAAATAATTTTTTAAAATGAAAAATTCTATATTTTTATGCCTAAAAAATATTCCTTGTAGTTTTCATTAATCAACAAATTACAAAAAAAATATTTTTTTAGGCAAAAAATTATAATATTTTTTATTTTAAAAAATTATTTCTTTAAAAATCGTTTATCATAAACGTTGCGTACTTTAGCTTCGTCTGGTTAAAAATTAATATTTTCTATTTTATGTTTTTAGGAACTAAATTTTAATAATTCAATGTTTTTGTTTAATTATTTAATATCCTTGTAATTAAATATCATCAAAAATCGTTATTATTTTCAAAATTGTAATTTGCAAATAAAATAAAAAAATAATTCTAAATAAATTCTTCGAAAATTGAATTACTTTTGAAATTTTTAATTTAAAATCATTTAAGGTGGAAGGGCCCACGCAGTAAGTCAAAAGCAAACTTTTTTTTTCTAAAAGTTGAAAAAAAAAGTAAATTCTATTATGTAAAATAAAAAATCATATTTTCAAATAATTTTTTTATGTTAGAACGTACAAATTTGTAAAAAATAAAAATTAAAAAAAAAATAGTAATATTTTGAACAATGTAGTGTTTCGCCGTGCGAGACATGGCAACACTGCAGTCACTGCAGAACAGCTGATGCACACAGCACACAGCTAATTTCTACGTAATTTATTTTAAATCAAAATAAAATATAATGAATTGTTTCAAGAATAAATAATTATGAGTTACAAGAATTTATTCATTAACTTTCTTGAAAAAAAGATAAGTAAAGCAATATGTTCTAAATACTTGGATATATTTAAATCTTCCCGCCATTCAATTTCTCCCTCACAAAAGTTGCGCTGTTGCTACGTTCTCTGTGTCTCTCGTGTCATAGAAAAAATTACATCCAACTTTAATTTTTGGATTAAAAATACTCGGTAACTAAACAGTAAATTGTACAATACTTGAAGCATTATGATCCTTGAATTTCAAATTAATTTTGCTTTAATTTTGAGATGAATCCTTATTGAGCATAAAAAGTTATGAAGTAATATATATCGAGTTGTCAGTTTTTCGTTCGCAGCGGCCATAAGCACAATGCTAAGTAATAAGAAAAATAGTGAATTTCGGACGACAATATCTTGAAAACCGTACGATAAAAATTGCTCATATTTAACAATAATGTGCATTAATATGTTATTCAATTTTGCTGAAAGTTTTACACGATTCCGTACACTTTGTGATTTTGACCCTTCCACCTTAAACTATAATGTCCAAATTTTCAATTACAACTATTTCAAAATTGAATTATAATATAATACAAATAATTATATTATTTATAAACCTTTTTAACTAAAACTCTAAAAATTTTATCATTTTCAAAAATTTTTAATGAATTTCTTTGATAATTTACTGATTTTAAAAATTTATATATTAAAAATATTGTTTTTTTTTAAACATTAATTTTAATTCCTATTGTGAAAACAAAAATTAATATTAATTATTATTAATTTAATATTATTTGCATCTCTTCGAAATATCAAATTCCTATTCAATTAGCACAAAATATTGAAAAATTTTAATTAAACTTTTTTAGATATTTATATGTATTAAGTTTTTTATAAATATAATATATTAAATAAATATTAAAATTTGAAATATTAAAATTTTCAAGTGAAAAAAAAAATTTTATTGCTGTAAAAAAATTAATAATCTTCTAAAATTTAATTATTTAAAAAAAAATTAATTAAAATTATTCTTTTTAATGCTTTTGCAAATTGCAAATATTTTTTGTTAATTATTTTTTTTAAAACAAATTTAAAAACTAAAGAACATTTTTGAAATTTATGAATTTATTTATTTTTGAATTTAAGCTTCTAAGCATAAAGTTCCAGTCTCTAATGATGCAATAATTTCAAGAATAAGATTTTAGTAACATACACTTGATACTTCCAACCACCAGATATTCCCTAAAGCTGAGTTTAATAAAATATTAGTAAGTGTTAGTACATCACAGAGACAGAAAAGATTGATGCAAGTTAATTATGACGCTGAAGTTACCAACGTTGATTCGACGAATCGACGAACGAATTTTTCGTTTTCAGATTAGTTTAAAGGCCAAGAAGCAATTTTTTAAAATTGAAACTTCTTTATTTTGGTCCCGAATACATCTTTAAATACTAAAACTCCTCAATTAAGGCGGGGAAATCTTCAATCTTAGGAAAAAAAAAATTCTTTTCGTCGATTCAACGTTGGTAACTTCAGTGTCATAGTTAATTAAGGAAACACTGAAAACTTAATTAATCCCAAATATTATAATTTCAAGTATAACATTCAATGATAATAATTATTTCTAATCATTTTCATGATTTTAACTTTTATTTTCTAAAAATTAGTTCACTCAAGTCTTTTTTTTCCCATTTTATATGTTTTAAGAATATAATTTCTATACTATGGATAAAGCGCAAAATGTATTTTCAAGAAAAAAAAAAAATAATTAATATAATTACCTTAGCCGCCCTTTCATGGAAAAGACATTCAGCTTTGTCGTACGATGGTTTTTCTACCCAAACCTTTTCTTGTGCCAATGCAGTAGCTGCCATTTTCTTTTTTTTATGAATTTAGAGATTTAAAATCTTAAATACGGGAATACAAATCCTGAAACAAACATACAAAGAACAATAAGTGTGAAATAATATATTAGTTTTTTAATTACAAGGAGAATAACTCACATTTTTTTTTCCAATAAAAATCCCCAATATTTTTGAAGTTATTAAATTAATATTTATACATTAAAGAACAGTTACTATTTTTTATTTAAAAAAAATTTATTTAATTATTCACTAAATATAAAAATATGAAATACATCATTGTCAAATTAATAAAACTAATTTTGTTAAATTACAATAAAATTACTTTGTCATTGTATTAAAAAAAAAAAAAAAATGGTCATTCACTATCGCTAAAAATTTCTGATTTAAAAGTACTTGTAGAAGAACTAGGTTTTGTAAAATTTAACTCATGATTAACAATTTTTACTATCTCTTGCCCTTTTCTTTTTGTAAATTCAATCAATAAATCGTACAATTGATCATGTTCCTCTGAATTTTTAGGAAGAACACAAGGGAAAATTTCCTTTGCTGGAAAATATTGCAAAAATGATTTTAATTCATTGCACGATGCATGTGACGAATAACATACTGATAATTGTCTTTTATCAAATTCATCCCATTCTGCTATTTTATTTGTCTCTAATTTACCACCCCATTTAAGAACAGATATATGAATTGATAAAATATTACTTTCATCAACGTCTAAACGACATGGAAGACATTTTTTATTTCGCCTATAATTTCCCATTGATAAGCATGCATGTAAAGGTGTACTATCAGCATCATTTGTTATATAAGGTGAAATTTCTGATATTTGCCTATAAACATTATAAACCATATCTAAAACATGAATTTTCCTCTTTAATGCAATAGATATTTCACGAAAAACATATTCAAGACCATAAGTATAAGTTAATTTTAAAAGAACAACATTTTTAAAATTATTTGCCAACCAATTTACAGTAGCCTTCTTTATTTCCTCAACACTTTCTTTTCTTGTTGGGATATTTGAATAATTTAAATTTAAAAATGTTGTATCCAAATAAATTTTATCAAATTTCAATGGATACAATTTTTTACCATCACAATCGTGTAATGGTTTTATTTTTGACAAATCATTTGAATTAATACGAAAATCACCAGTGTATAAAAATTTCTTATTATTATATTCAAATAGAAACATAACAGATCCAGGACAATGTCCAGCGGGAATTAATGTTACTGTAACATAATTATTACAATGTTTTCTTTTATAATCAATTATCACTGGATTCGATAGACTTAAACTTTTAATATTCGTCGGTTCAATTAAATTAAATCTTGATGTTAAAATAATTTTTGTTATTTCACTACAATATAAAAATTTATTATATCGTGATAAATTATTAATAAAATAATTATCTAATCCTTTCATGTGATCGGAATGAACGTGACTTAGAAAATAAACGGAAGACTCAAGATTTTCATTTGTAAAACAATCCACTGATATTCCCGGTATTTCTTCAATAGGCCCAGCAAAAGTCGACATTCCGGGCAACTTTTTTTTTTTTTGTATTTCTGAAAACCAAAGTTTACTAATCACCTGTGCATGTTTTAATAAAATATTAATTACTCGAATTTTATTCAATACTTATATATGTAATTATTTTTGTTCTCGAAGCTCAGGCCTCGGATCGACTTTAAGGCACAAAAAAATGTGTCGATTTACATTACAAAAAAAGTCGAAACAGTCGATTATTTAATTTTAATTAAATTTAATTAATTTATTTCTTTATTTATTTAATAAAAATAATTATTTTACTTTAAATTATTATTGTTAATAGATATTAATTTTATTAATTCCTTAATAAGAATTATTCTATAGGAATATTATCAAGAAAATTTATTTCGAATATTTCAGAATCAAAGGCGTAAATTTTTAAAATTTTAATTTAGACAAATTTCTAAAAAAAAATTCTGATAACAATTCAATTTTACAATTTTTATTTGAAACTTTTTTAAATAATTGATTTTTTTAAAGAAATATTAAAATTATTAAAAATAATTCAACTTTGGAAGAGTTATAGTTGAAATTTTTAGAAATAATTAAATTTCAAAAGATTTTGTTAAATTTTAGACAATAATACAAAATTGAAAATAATTTATCAAATAATTTTAGACAAAATTTTTTAAAAGTTATTGAATTTTCAAAGATTTATTTTTACATTCCTTAATAAGAATAATTCTACAAGAATATTATCAAGAAAATTTATTTTGAATATTTCAATACCGAACTAAGACAAATTTTCAAAATTTTAAAGAAACTGAAGGTTACCAACGTTAATTCAACGAAAAAATAAAATTTAAGGATTCTAATTCCCATCAATGAAATTTGATTATTTTCAACCCTCTGAAACTTGAAATAAAAAAAAAAAAACAATATTTATCATTGTTTTGTCCCGGATTTTCCGCAAATTTCAAAATTTCAAGTAATTTTGATATTTCCTTGACTCGGAAGCAATTTTTCTCGTTTGACAATTATTTGTTTCAATGCTTGGAAGCATTTTAAAAAAATAGAAAAATTGCTTCCGAGGCGGGGAAAACAATATTTATCATTGTTTTGTCACGGATTTTTCGAAAATCCCGAAATTTCAAAAAAAAAAAATTACTATTTCCTCGTCTCGGAAGCAATTTTTCGCGTTTGATAAAAAAAAATTTGCTTCCGAGGCACGAAGCTGAAGTACGCAACGTTTATGATAAACGATTTTTAAAGAAATAATTTTTTAAAATGAAAAATTCTACAATTTTTAGTCTAAAATATATTTCTTGTTGTTTTCATTAATCAACAAAATTATAAAAAAAATATTTTTTAGGCAAAAAATTATAGAATTTTTCATTATTAAAAATTATTTCTTTAAAAATCGTTTATCACATAAACGTTGTGTACTTCAGTTTCGTTCCGAGGCGAGGAAATAGCATATTACTTGAAATTTCTGGATTTTCAAAAAAAATTCAAAATCACTGTTTTCCCCGCCTCGGAAGCAATTCTTTTGTTTTTTAAAATGCTTCCAGCATTGAAACAAATAATTGTCAAACGAGAAAAATTGCTTCCGAGTCGAGGAAATAGCAAAATTACTTGAAATTTCGAAATTTTCGGAAAATCCGGGACAAAACAATGATAAATATTGTTTTTTTTTTATTTCAGGTTTCAGAGGGTTGAAAATAATCAAATTTTATTGATGGGAATTAGAATCCTTAAATTTTATTGTTTCGTTGAATCAACGTTGGTAAGTTCAATTTCATAAATTTTAATTAAGTAGGACCTATTTCTAAAAAAAAATTTTTAAAGTTCCATTTAAAAATTTTTTTAAAGTCTAATTCAAATAATTTGAATTTAAAATTTTTACCTAGTTTTTAGTTTTAATGGTCAAACTAAAAAAATTCGGAAAATAATTAAGTTAAAGGTTTTATAAATAATTGAATTTTTAAAGAATTATTAAAATTATTAAAAATAATAATTTAATTTTTAAAGAAATATTAAAATTATTAAAAATGATAATTTAATTTTGGAAGAGTTACACTTAAATTTTTTTAGAAATACTTGAAATTCATAATTTGTTTAAATTTTACAGAATTGAAAATAATTTAACAAATAATTTTTGATAACCTTCTTTAAAAATAATTACATTGAAATCAGTTTAAGATAATTGAATTTGTAAAGAATTTCATTCAAATTATTTAAAATAATTAATTTAGAGAATAATTTTAGTTGAAAATTTGGTAAATAATTGAAATAAAAAAGACCTGAATAAGATCTGTAATGTATAATAAAAAAGACGTATTTTGTTTAAAAATTTTTGTTAAAAAAATGTAAAAAAAATCGCATTTTATTAAAATAAGTCGAAAAAAGTCGGATTTTCGAAAAAAAAGTCGGAAAATTTCGTATAATCCGAGACCTGGATTTTTTTAATTAATTTAACTTCAAGTGACTTTAAATTAAATGTTTTTGTAATTTCTGTTGATGAAGAATTTATTAGAAATTACAGACAAAAATTGAATTTTAAAAGTTTGTAATTGAAAAATGCTTTCAAATAATTGAATTTTTGAAATTAATTGAATTTAAGTGATTTTTAATTTAAATTTTTGATGATTTCTGTTACTAAAAAAATTTGTTCATTTGAACGTTCAAAATTTTTGGCTCATTTAGAAATTGCAGACAAAAATTGAATTAAAAAATTTTTCAATTCAAAAATGCTTGCACATACCTAATAGAATTTTCGAAAAATATTATAAAAATCATTAAAAATAATTGAATTTTAGAAGAGTTGTTATTGAAATTATTAAACTTCAAAAACTTTTATAGGGAAAATTTTTAAAATAATTGAATGTTTTAAAATTGAAATTTTTGGTGACTTTATTTATTTTTTTTTAAAATTGTAAACAATTGTTGAGTTTCATAAAATTTTCATTTGAAAAATAATTTAAAATAATTGAATTTGTGAAGAATTTTATTAAAATTATTTTAAAATAATTAATTTAGTGAAGAATTTTAGGTGAAAATTTGTTAAATATTTGAAATAAAGATCTGCATCGTATACTAAAAAAGACGTATTTTGTTTAAAAATTTTGTAAAAAAAAGTCGAAAAAGTCGCATATTATTTAAATAAGTCGAAAAAAGTCATAAAAAGTCGAATAATCCGAGGCCTGAAAGGTTTATTTTCAAAATGCATTATTTGAAAAAAAAAAATGGTAGAATTACAAGAGAAAGCAAGAAGAACAATTTTAAAAGAAAAATAATTTATTGCCGTTATTTACTAATTTTCAAAAAGGAAACAGATATTTTGTTGTATATATACTAATTTATCGTGTTCCAAATCCTAAAAGTGACCTTTCAATGTCACAAGTAATAAACCAGGTGACTAATAATTGGGAAAGACATTATGTAAACAAAAACTTTATTAAAATTATTACTTATAAAGATTATAAAATTAAATTACTTTATAACAGTATTTAAAAAAATTGTAGATTTTAAATAGAAAAATTTATACTCTAGTTGGAAAACATATTAACCTATTTTAAATAATTCTTGACTGAAAATTTTTAAAAAAAGTTATAAAGAATTTTCACATAAACATATTGGAATTTCTTTTAACTATTAAAATAATAAAAATCACTTCTGAAATTACTTATTTTTTGTGATAATCAAAAAACAGCTGTGTACCTATAAGGTTATGTTCAAAAAAAAAGAAGTTATAAAATCTCAATAAAAACTTAATTTAATCAATAAAAAGAGAAAATTAATTTTGTTCAATTTTTAATATTTATTAGTTTACGTGGCTTCTTTTCAGCAAAAAAAAAGAAAGGAAGAAATTATTAAAATATACCATGTGCCGTATTGATCGGATTCTTTCAATAAAATATTAACCAAATCTCAAGTGGAAAGTAATGATTATTTATAAATAAAATCCCTTATTCGTCTGGTTTAATAATTTTATAAATACCTTTTAATTTTTCGTTAAGTTTAACACTGTAAATTTTCCTTCAGAATGTCCAAAAACTTATCTACCGGATGCTCTACTGCCTTCTTTTGCTCTTGGAATTCTGAGAGGAGAAAAAAAATACAAGTTCGGTTTTCGGTATCGAACTGACTAATTGCGTGTACTTACATGCGCAATGTTAACCAATGAACGCGTTTTTGACAAACCACATTTGAAAAATTATTTTTGAAAAAATTAATTTTTTTTTTTACTCTAGTTTTAAATTTATAATTATGTGAAATAAAATGAGTTTCAAAAATTTATCTATTTAAAGAAATATTTTAAAATGTTACAATAAAGTGGAAAAAATAGGAAACATTATTATATTCAAAAACAGAGAAAGTGAACTGTGCGCACGTGCGCAAAAATGATGCGCAATAAATCGCCGGGAAACTAGCAACATTTTTACATCAACCGTCCGGTATGAATCCAAACGTCCCGTCCAAAATCAAACACAATCCAAACAAATATGGCCGTACAAGCATCACCCGGAAAACTCAAGGAATTAAGATTACCTATTTCACGGGTAAGAACGATTATGAAAAGTTCACCTTATGTTGAAGCAATTGGCCAAGATGGACTATTTTTAGTAACCAAAGCAACAGTAAGTCGACAACTTATATTATTTTTTAATGCCCTCGAGAGATTTTGTATAGTCAATCAATGGAGATTTGTACACAACAAAATAGAAACGATAAACGCGGTTAAATTCAAATTAATTTTTTAACTTGTCAAAAGTAATTATGATATTTTCAGTTATTTATCGTGAAAAAAATTTACGGGAATATATATAGCGAAAAAGTAAGATTTTTTCTTTAAAAAAAAAACAGTGAAGCTATTGACTCAGAAACTTTTGCCTATTATTGAGTAATATTTGAAGAATGTTTGACAATTTTTTTTAATAGAAATACAATAATTATAGTAGTTATAAATATTTTACTAAAATGAAATGTTTATTTTTTTTGATTTTTGAAATTATGATTTAGAATTTTCAATTTTTTTTATACTAATTTAAAAGAAAAACTTTCTAAATATTCAAAATAAAAAAAAAAAGTAAACAAAATACATCTTTTTTAGTATACAATGCAGATCTTCTTTATTTCAATTATTTAAGAAATTTTTAACTCAAATTTTCCTCTACATTAATTATTTTTAATAATTAAAATGGAATTCTTCACAAATTCAATTATTTTAAATTATTTTTCAATTAAAAATTTTATAAAACTCAACAATTGTTTACAATTTTTAAAAAATCAAATAAAATAACCGAAAACTTCAATTTAAAACCTTTTAAAATTTTCCATCTAAAACTTTTTGAAATTTAATACTTTTAATTACAACTCTTCCGAAATTCAATTATTTTTAACGATTTTTTTAAATATTTTTCAAAAATCCTTTTATGTGAAAGCATTTTTCAATTAAAAACTTTTGAAAATTCAAATTCAATTTTTGTCTGTAATTTTTAATAAATTTTTCAGTAACAGAAATCACCAAAAAATTTCAATTCAAAATCACTTGTATTCAATTATTTTCAAAAATTTTAATTTAAAAACAATCTAAAATTTAAATACTTTTAAAAAATGTTGTCTAAAATTATTTGATAAATTATTTTTAGTTCTGTAAAATTTAATTATTGTCTGAAAATAAACAAAATCTTTTGTAATTCAATTATTTCTAAAAATTTCAACTACAACTCTTCCAAAAAATTTTTAACTAAAATTCTTCACTAAATTAATTATTTTTTATAATTTTAATGAAATCCTTCACAAATTCAATTATTTTAAACTATTTTTCAATTAAAATTATTATAAAATTTAATAATTGTTTACAATTTAAAAAAAAAATTAACAAATATAATTAACAAAATTTTTTTAATTCAAATCATTTGAAATTTAATTATTTATTTATTGAAAGTATTTGCAAAAATTTCAATTATTTTTAATAATTATTTAATATTCTTCGAAAATTCAATTATCTGAAAGCATTTTTCAATTAAATACTTTTGGAATTAAATTTTTGTATTTGATTTCTAATGAATTCTTTATCAACAGAAATCACTAAAAATTTCTCTAATTATAATTATAATTATTAAATTTCAAAACATATTGTTAATTTTCAAACAATTATTAAATTTTACAGAACTAAAAATAATTTATCAAACAATTTTTGGAAAACATTTTTTTAATTTAATTGAATTTTCAAAGATTTAAAATTGAGATTTTTGAAATTAATTGAAACTTTAAGTGTTTTGTAATTAAAATTTTAGATGATTTCACTAAAAATTTATTAGAAAATTCAGACAAAATACAATAATTTGAAAATCATTTTTAATTGAAAAATGGTTTCAGATAGTTGAATTTTCAAAGAATATTATTAAAATAGTTAAAAATAATTGAATTTGCTTAGAGTTATAATTGAAATTATTAAATTTCAAAAAAAAAATTTTCGATGGAAAATTTTAGAAATAATTAAATTTTATTTGATTTTAAATTTGGAAAATAATTGAATTTCAGTTCATTTTGAATTGAAAATTTTGGGAAATAATTGAATTTTAATTGAAATTTTGGATAATAATTTAATTTAAGTTCATTTTTAATTAAAAATTTGGATAATTAATTTTGAACAGAAATTTTAGAAAATAATTGAATTTTATTTCATTTTAAATTGAAAACTTGGTAAATAATTAAATTTTAAATTGAAAATTTTGGATAATTATTGGATTTTTAATTGATTTTGAATTAAAATTTCGGGTAATAATTGAACTTTAGTTTATTTTAAATTGAAATTTTTAAAAAATAATTCAATTTTATTGTGATATTTTTTTTAAATTATAAACAATTGTTAAATTTCATAAAAATTTTAATTGAAACATAATTTTGATATAATTGAATTTGTGATGTATTTAATTAAAATTATTAAAAATAATTAATTTAGTGAAGAATCATTTTAGTTCAAAATTTGTTAAATAATTGAATTGAAGAAGATCTGAAGAAGATCTACATTTCATACTAAAAAAATGTATTTTATTTACATTTTTTTTCAAATGTAAAAAAAATGTCGCATTTTATTAAAATAAGTCGATAAAAGTCGTATTTTTGAAAAAAGTCGGAAAAAGTCGTATAATCCGAGGGCTGTATAATTTTCATTTTTATCATTTAATATGTAATAATATTCTAATAAATAAAATTATTATTGATAATATTAATCTTTAATTTCTTTATAACAAACAATTAAATACACAATTTGGCGCGTTTAATTTTGCTAGTTTCTAATAAATTTTTTAGGAATAGAAATCAGCAAAAATTTTATATTAAAAATAACTTGAAGTTCAATTAATTTCAAAAATCAAAATAATTGTAAATCTTTGAAAATTCAATTACTTTTAAAAAATGTTATCTAAATTTATTTGATAAATTATTTTTAGTTCTGTAAAATTTAATTATTGTCTGAAAATAAACAAAATCTTTTGTAATTAAATTATTTCTAAAAATTTCAACTTTAACTCTTCCAAAATTATTATTATTGAAAGGAAATTTTATTTAAAAATTTGTAAAACTTAATTAAGTAGATATTGCTTGAAATTTTTTTGTCTATAATCAAAACTAAAAACTATGACAAAATTTTAAATTCGAATAAATTTCTTAAATCAGATTTTTAAAAAAATTAAAAAATTGAGCTTTAAGACTTTTTTTTAAAAATTTGTTTTACTTAAATAAAATTTTGAAAATTTTTCTAACAATTAGTTCGATTCTGAAATATTCGAAATAAATTTTATTCCTATTGAATTATTCTTATTAAGAAATTAATAAAATAGTTTTAATATCTAATAACATTAGTTATTTAAAGTAAAATATTTATTAACCAATTAAATTTTGTTAAAATAAAAAAATCGAGTTTTTCAATTTTTTTTTGGGAATGTAAATCGTCTAAAACGTTTTTTTTTGCGCCTTAAAGTCGATTCGAGGCCTGTGTTCATAATAACAGACAAAATTTTTTTTTCAATTTAAAAAAGTAAGTAAAAAAAATTATAAATAATTAAAATAACAGAAATAGAGACAAATAAAAGTTTTTTCGCCCTCCTCTTGTCTTTTTAATTTGTTCCCTGACTGATGATTATTTATTATATGTATAGTATAATTTATTTATACTATTATTATTTATTTATAATTTATTTAATTTTTATAATTTCAGGAATTATTTATTCATTATCTAACCGAAGAAGCACATTCACAATCAAAAAAAGGACACAATTTAGATTATAAACATTTGGCGGAAGTTGTACAAAGTAACGATTGTTTAGAATTTCTTCGTGAAATAATGCCAAGGAAAATAACAGTTCGTCAATTTAAACAAATGATGGCAGCAAAAAATGCTGTAAGTTCTTCAGATTCCGACTCCGATAGTCAGTCAGATAGTTCATCATCATCAGACAGTGATGAGGAAAACTCAGACGATTCTTCAGAAGCAAACGAAGATACTAATAAGGCAAATGGAAAAAGTGAATCGAGTGATAAAAGCGAGAACAGCAATTCCAGCGACAGTGATGAAGATAATAAAATGTCCACCGAAAGCTAGTGACTTATCATTTTTTTTTTTTTAAATAGGCAAGTGTTAATACAACTTTGCAATTTCTTTTTTTTTTTTTAGTGTAGATATTTTTCTATTTTATTGGTCAACTAGTTTTTTAAAAAAAAAGAAAAAAAAATATTTTAGACACTTAACGAATATGTAATTGTAAAATAACAAATGTCAATTGCGATAGAATTCACTTAATTATTTATGGAATCATAAATTTAAAAATAAATTGGAAACCGTTTTTTTTTAAATTATTGTTTATTATCTCCTAAAGTAGAGAGAGAGAGTTACAATAATTCTCTTAATTACAATATTAAATGTATTCATTATTTATAGAAAATTGAAGAAATTTTAATATAATTTGTTTCGTATATTTACAATAATTCTAGTTTCATAATGAAGCTATTTACAGATTTTTTTGTTCAGCTTAAAAAAATTAGTCTATTACAATGACGTGAAAGATTTTAGACAATGAAATATTAATGTTCTTAAGTAAATATTCATGTTTATGAAATTTAATCTTGATGTACTTTTCCGGTGGTACCTTCCGGATAATCATATACGTCTTCACTTAGTTTTTTCGCTAGGAAATAAATTTCAGCTAGCGCAATTATTAGGGAGATCATAATTCCCAATAATAATCGAAAACCAAAATCCAAATCGCCGACAATTAATTCCACACCAATAAAACCAAAGGCAAATCCAGCCATAACGGAAAAAACAAATTGCGCCACTGCTATAAGTTGCTTGTTCATTTCTTTAACTGTAACAAAATATTAGATTTTGAACATAGCATTGTTTCTATATTTCATTATACACTTTTTTTTCTTGAAAATTGCAAGCAATCAAAGTACATAATTTATTAATAATTTTTTAATTACACCTCAAAATTTTCAAATAAAATAAAAAATTTAAACATATATGGCAGTTTCTATTTTTTTATAAGCTTTTTTTTATGATTCTGAACAATTAATCGTAAGGATTTTGAAAAATTTCAATTATTAAAAACAATAAAATTTTTGAAAAATAAAAAAAATTGATTAAAAATTAAATTAAAAAAAATTTTTTTTAGTGGAATATAATTTCAGGTTCTGAAAAAATTTCGAAAAAAAATTGTTAACCCTAAACAAGATTAATTATGTTCGGTTTAAATTTTAATAATTATTCCTTAAAAATTCAATTTCCAGACCTCGGATCGACTTTAAAGCACAAAAAAAGTCGTTTTAGTCGATTTATATTCCAATACAAGTCGAAAAAGTCGATTTTTTTTTATTTTAACAAAATTTAATTGGTTAATCAATATTTTACTGTAAATAACTAATGTTATTAGATATTAAATACATTTTATTAATTCTGTAATGAGAATAATTCTATATAAAAATATTATCAAGAAAATTTATTTCGAATATTTCAGAATCGAACTAATTGTAAGACAAATTTTCAAAATTTTATTTAAGTAGGACAAATGAGTCACCGGAAAGTAAAACCACACATAAAATTCTGACTTCCATTGAATTAACATGGCCGTCAGAATTTTATGTGTGGTTTTACTTTCCGGCGACTCAAATTTCTAAAAAAAATTCTTAAAGTTCAATTTTTTCAAGTATTTTACTTTAAATTATTATTGTTATTAGATATTAAATCCATATTATTAAAATTCCTTATTAAGAATTATTCTATAGGAATATTATCAAGAAAATTTATTTCGAATATTTTAGAATCGAAGGCGTAAATTTTTAAAATTTTAATAAAATTTTTGATTTTTTTTTAAATTTTAATTGAGACAAATTTCTAAAAAAAAAATTCCGACAATTCAATTTTAGAATTTTTATTTGAAACTTTTTTTAATAATTGAATTTTTAAAGAAATATTTAAAATTATTAAAATAATTGCATTTTTGAAGAAATATTAAAATTATTAAAAATAATTGAACTTTGGAAGAGTTATAGTTGAAATTTTTAGAAATAATTAAATTTCAAAAGATTTTGTTAAATTTTAGACAATAATGCAAAATTGAAAATAATTTATCAAAAAATTTTAGATAACATTTTTTAAAAGTAATTGAATTTTCAAAAATTTACAATTCAGATATTTGAAATTAATTAAACTTCAAATGATTTTTAGTTAATTTTTTTTTTGATGATTTCTATTACTAAAAAATTTATTAGAAATTGCAGACAAAAATACAATAATTTGATAAATTCTTAAATGCAAAATAGTTTCAGATAGTTGAATTTTCGAAAAATATTATAGAAATCATTAAAATGAATTGAATTTCAGAAGAGTTATTCAGAGTGGCCGCAAGTCAGGGAAAAGTCAGGGAGTAGTCAGGGAATTTTTAAAAATTCTTATAAGTCAAGGAATTTTGATTAAAAGAAACCACAAATTGAAAAACTTTGATACATAAATGTCAATTCAGTTTTTTTTCTTTACACGTTTTTGTAATATAGCTCAATATAATGGTGCCGTCAGATTTTTCATTTTTCAAAGTATTTACTTTTTTTTATAATAAAAGTTTTAAATATAATAAAATTTTGTTATTAAACAATTTTTAATTATCTTATCTTTTCTTTTATGAATAAAATTGTTACTTAAAAAGCATTATAAAAATTTCAATCAGCAATGCAGAATATTAAATAATTCTAAAGTTTTTTAGTCAGGGAAAAGTCAGGGAATTTTGAAAATAAAATTTTGCGACCACCCTAGTTATTATTGAAATTATTAAATTTTTAAAAAATTTAGAAATAATTAAATTTTAGAAGCTTTAAATTAAAATTTTTTACAATAATTGAATTTCAAAAGTTTTTAATTGAAAAATGCTTTCAGATAATTGAATTTTCGAATTTTTATAAATCATTAAACATAATTGAAATTTTTGCAAATAATTAAATTTCAAATGATTTTGAATTAAAAATTTTTGAAAATTTTATTTACTAATTTTTTTAAAATTATAAACAATTATTAAATTTCATAAAAATTTTAATTGAAAAATAGTTTAAGATAATTGAATTTATGAAGAATTTCATTAAAATTATTAAAAATAATTAATTTAGAGAAAAATTTATTAAATAATTAAAATAAAAAAGATCTGAGGAAGATCTGCATTGTATACTAAAAAACGTATTTTGTTTAAATTTTTTTAAAAAATGTAAGAAAAAGTTGCATTTTATTAAAATAAATCGAAAAAAAAGTCAGAAAAAGTCGTATAATCCGAGGTTTGAACTTGTACAATTTTTATATGCTTTTTGTTATTAACCGTCAAATTATAAATAATTTATTAATCAAAAAAGGTCTACAGGCCTCGGATCGGCTTAAAGGCACAAAAAAAGTCGTTTTAGTCGATTTATATTCCAAAAAAAGTCGAGAAAGGCGATTTTTTTTATTTTAACAAAAATATTTTACAGATTTTTAAATAATTTTTTTATTTAAATAATAATACTTTTGGAATAGTTAAAGTTGAAATTTTTAGAAATAATTGAATTTTCAAAGATTATTATAAAAATAGTTAAAAATAAATTAATTTCTTTAGAGTTATAATGGAAATTGTTAAATTTCAAAAAAATTTCGATGGAAAATTTTAGAAATAATTAAATTTTAGAAGCTTTTAAATTCAAATTTTTGAAATAATTAAATTATAATTGAGATTTTGGATAATAATTAAATTTTAGTTGATTTTTTATTGAAAATTTTGATAATAATTAAATTTTACAAGCTTTTAAATTCAAATTTTTAAAGATAATTGAATTATAATTGAAATTTTTGATAATAATTCATTTTTAGTTGATTTTTAATTGAAAATTTTGATAATAATTAATTTTGAATTGAAATTTTGGATAATTATTGAATTTTAATTCATTTTGGGTAATAATTAAATTTTATTTGATTTTAAATTGAAAATTTGGAAAATAATTGAATTTTAAAAGATTTTGAATTGAAATTTTGGGTAATAATTGAATTTGAATTGAAATTTTTGAAAATAATTGAATTTTATTTGATTTTGAATTGATTTATAATTTTGAATTAAAATTTTTTGGCAATTTTATTAGTTATTTTTTTAAATTATAAACAATTGTTAAATTTTATAAAAATTTTAATTGAAAAATAATTTGAAATAATTAAATTTGTGATGAATTTCATTAAAATTATTAAAAATAATTAATTTAGTGAAGAATTTTTGTTAAATAATTGAAATAAAGAAGATATGAAGAAGATCTGCATTTTATACTAAAAAAAATATATTTTTTAAAAAATGTAAAAAAAAGTCGAAATAGTCGCATTTTATTAAAATAAGTCGAAAAAAGTCGTATTTTTGAAAAAATGTTGGAAATAGTCGAAAAAGTCGTTTAATCCGAGGCCTGGGTCTAGATACGGCCTATCTAGGCTTTTTTTGATTAATAAGCTATTTCTAAAATTTTTATTATTTGAAGAGCTCCACGGAATAACGATCTATGGCACAATTGAAAAGCTTGGTTATGAGCTTTCAAAAAATATAAAAATTTTATAAATTAATAGCTGTAAGCGAATTATTGTAACTAATAGAATTAATAATAGTTACCAAAAGTGTAATAAATAACAATTTACATATACATACTTATTACAAATTTCATGAAAATTTACGTTTTTTGAAAGCTCATAACCAAACTTTTCAATTGTGCCATAGATCGTTATTCCGTGGAGCTCTTCATTTATCATCGAAAATATTTTTGTACGCTTTTTTTATGATTCTATACAATCAATCGTATAGATTTGGAAAAATTGTAATATTTAAAAAAAATTAAATTTCTAAAACGGTGAAATAAATTTTGTTTAAAATTTTAATAATACCTAATAATTTTAGATCCCAAATAATGATCTAAAAGTGTGTTTTTAGACAATTCAAAACCAAAAAGTTCCCTTAATCGAATTTTCATTTTATATTTTTTTTAAAAAAATCATCTTTTGATATATTTTGGAAATTATATTACTTAAGATCAGAAAATAATGAAATTTTGCAATATAAAAAAATTCGCAGAAACCCTCTGAAATAATAAAATATAAATTTTCCTTACTTTGTGCAGCTATTGAATCTTCAGGAAAAACTTTTTTATATGGATTAACAGTTTTTGTCATTGATGCATAATCCCTAGCATTTTGTTGGGCTTGAAGTTTTACTAATCGTGCAACAAGTTCGGGATTTTTTGGTTTCACTGGCGGTGTTGGTAAACAAATATTAGCACTCTCCAAAAGTTCGTGCAAATAAACCTTCTCGTTAGAAGAATCTCGATATTTTTCTAAATAAGAATTCAACCACTTTACATCATTTAAAGTTAAAAATGTCTCTTGTCGTTTGCCATAACTTTTTAATGCAATAATATTATCAGGCACCTCATCCTTTTTCTTTACCTGCTTAGCGACGAATTCAATAAGTCTAGTAGTCGGTTTTATTTTTATTGTGTGATCTTTAATTGGCTCGACAAACATTCTAGTCAAATTTTTGTGCAAATGAAAATTAAAAGAAGAAAAATAAAATTTTCAAGCAAAAAAGAGAAAAAAAAAAAAAAAGTGAAAGTTAACAGAAAGAAACGGAATGAAAAGGTGAATCTTAATTTTTCCGACTACCTATATAAGTTTAAGTAGAAAATGCCAGAGTAATCAATTATGGTGTAAGATGTAACTTCCTTTCAAGATCCAAATAAAATTCTTTTAATTCGTTTTCTTTCTCAATGAATTCTTCATCCACTTTCTGACAATTATCCTTCATTTCATTAATAAACTTTTGCCATTTCAATTTTCGAAGTTCTCTTTTTTCTGCTAATTCATTTTCCTAAAAATTATTATTCTTTTTTTTTTAAAGAGAAAAAACAAATGAAATTTGCGAAATAATTAATTTAATACATACATGATTTATTTTCCCTTCTTTTTGAAGAACTCGTTCGCACATACTAAGTGCTTCATCGACTTTTACTTTTAAATTAGGTAACTGAGAATTTCCAAGTTCTATTGTTCTGTCCAACTGGCTTTGATCAATATCGGTTGAATGCTCTATAATTTTGAAGAGGCGTTCGACTTCTCTGTCATTTCTTTTATCCTGAGTACCAAAAAAAGAAAAAAAGAAATATATATTCCATCAAAGGTTACAAAATTAATTTGCTTGAAATTCTGAACGTTCAAATGAACAAACAATTTATTTACAACTTTTTTAATTTCAAAATTTATTATAAAATTTTGCTTTTTTTATTCAAAAATACATTAATAAATTAAATATTTACCAAAATTTTTTTATTTTTCATTGTCTGAGTAATTTTTTTTAAAAAAATTCTAGAATAAAAAAATTATTTCGTTCATTTGAACGTTCAGAACTTCAGGCACATCAAAATTAAAAGAATTGAAAAATAATAAACATTTCTTTTACTTTTATTACTTTTAAAAAAGTTCAATTAACCGAAAGTTTTTTGAAAAATTACAACAGCAATGAAAAATAATAAAGTATATTAAATTAATAAATTATCAATTTATTTTTGGATAAAAAAAACAATATATTACAATCAAAAAAATAATTTTTAAACATTTTTCATTTATTTCAAAGTTCAGAATTTTAGGCACATAAATTTAGTATTAAAAAGTAAAATATTATTTTTTATACATTTTTTGTTATTAACGTCGGTTAAGTTTACAACAATTAACGATTTAGAAGAAAAAATATTTTTCTATACAAATTATTAAAAATTTTTTGTCTAAACAAATTTTTATAACATTTCTCGATTAACAATTTTTAAAAGAAAATAATTTGAAGGCAAAAAAATTTATTACTTTTCGAATGAAAATTATTTTTTCTTTTCAATCGTTGATTATAAACATTTTGAACTTCATCGATGTTAAAATTATTAGTGAATGTATTTTCCGAGCATAATTTTTTTTTTTTATATATTTATAAATTAAGATACTTGTCTTACAAAAAGAAATACAGGAAAATTAATAATTAGCCAATTTTTCACAAATTAAATTCAACTTACAAAAAATATGAAATCAGAATAATGAAAAAAATTCTAAAAAAATAGAATACACCCTAACCTAAAATTGTGAAAATTTTTTGTCTGAATAAAAATATTTTTATTTGAAACATTAGAAAAATTATGATAAAATAAAGAAATAATTTCATTTTGTACCTGATATTCTCTCAAGAAAAATGAAACTTCTCCTTGAATGAACGATCGATGATCAAAAAGCCGAGTCCAAATTTCACCAACGTCTATTAAAAAGTAAAATCACGTTCACGATAAAAAAAAAAAAATTTTAATTATGTACTACAAGAGAGTACTATGAAATGATTTTAAATTTAAATTACATGAGAAAATGATGATATGTAATAGAATATTTAAAAACTACTTGTTCACACCTTTTACAATATACGCCATGTTTTGGTAATAACATCTCGTGACAGATAGAAAATTATTTGCGCACATGAACTACGCAGTTTTATATTGTCACACCTGACAAATGCGCGCGTAAAAATCAAATTTAAAATATCATCTTTTTTCTCCAATATTATTTTTGATAAAATATACAAGAATTTAATTAATAATATATGATAATAATTATAATAATATATAGAAAAGGAATGTTTTTTTTCTAATAAAAAAGTTATTAAATTTTAATTATAAAAAAATATAATTTAAAATTAATTCTCGTAGAGAAAAAAATGTAATTCATTTAGAATATAATTATTATAAATCTGATGTTATATGGTCTGTAATTTATGGTACATATGAAATTTATTGTATAGTTAACTAGGTGATTTATTACAGTTATGACATAAAATGATCGTATAAAATATTCTCATCATACTGAATCAAACGATAATTATAGTTTAAGTTTCTTTGGTACATTATATTATTATTACATATAATATAGGTAATAATATATTATATACATTATATATAAAATATATACAGGTGATAATAATAAAAATTTGTAATGTAATTTAATATCTAATTTTAGATTTATTAAATATAAATGTTCTTTATTACTAAAATACTTCAAAAAAAAGGAAAATGTGACAGAAGCAAAATATTAAAGGTTATGTTTTGAAAATTTTAGGTTATGTTCATGGAAGTTTTTGCTTTATTAAAGATTTATTTTTGATTATTTGACATCAAAAGCATTTTTTACTGAAAATATTGCATCTAATAAATAATTAAATAATAATAGTTTGTACCGAAAACTAATCGCTTTTATTTATTTTTACTGCAAAGTTTATTTCCGTCAAAAACAGCTAAGCACTCTTTCACCGTGGAGCGTCACATTTATGATGAAAGTGATAAAGTCAAAAGTCAAATGATAAAGTCACATACGCCAAAGTGTAGGGTCCATCTGTAATTGCATCTCCGATTTTTTCTTCTTTTAGTACTAATTGAGATTAGCTTCCATGAATTTTTTCAAATTTTTTTAGAAAGCCGCCCCCACAGCACCGAAAATTTCCTGAAAATTTCCTAAAGATTTATTTGCAAACTTCGGAAACTTTAATTGCAAAGTTTAGAGAAAATTGTATAAAGATTTAAATGTCCAAAATGAGTAAATGTTTGGCGTAAAACTTGACGGAAGATTTAAATTAAATTTTCCAGAAATTTTCGACGCGAAAATTGAGTGAAGATTTAAATTAAAGTTTCGTGAAATGTTTGGCGTAAAAGTTGACTAAAAATTTAAATTAAATATTTATTAAAAATTTATACCGAAAGTTGAGTGAAAATGTAATTTAAATATTCAGTCAATTTTTGTGACGAACATTTCCTAAAAATTTAAATTAAATTTTCAGAAAAGGTTGGACGAAAATATTTGTAAAAAATACAAAAATAATATTTAAGAAGTATTAATATCATTATTAATATTAATAATAATAATAGATAGATAGACAGATAGATCTTTATTATTATTATTATTATTATTATTATTATTATTATTATTATAAAAAAAAAAAATTTACTATCTGGGATTAAAAATAATATTTAAGAAGTATTAATATCATTATTAATATTAATAATAATAGATAGATAGATAGATCTTTATTATTATTATTATTATTATTATTATTATTATTATTATTATTATTATTATTATTATTATTATTATCAATAAAAAAAATTTACTATCTGGGATTAAAAATAAAATAAATAATATACAAACAATATTATTTTTGTATTTTTTACAAATATTTTCGTCCAACCTTTTCTGAAAATTTAATTTAAATTTTTAGGAAATGTTCGTCACAAAAATTGACTGAATATTTAAATTACATTTTCACTCAACTTTCGGTATAAATTTTTAATAAATATTTAATTTAAATTTTTAGTCAACTTTTACGCCAAACATTTCACGAAACTTTAATTTAAATCTTCACTCAATTTTCGCGTCGAAAATTTCTGGAAAATTTAATTTAAATCTTCCGTCAAGTTTTACGCCAAACATTTACTCATTTTGGACATTTAAATCTTTATACAATTTTCTCTAAACTTTGCAATTAAAGTTTCCGAAGTTTGCAAATAAATGTTTAGGAAATTTTCAGGAAATTTTCGGTGCTGTGGGGGCGTTTTCGAGTTATGGAATTTTGAAAATTGGAGAATTTTCATGACTTTCAATTTTTGAGTGCTCATAACATCCTTAAAAATGCATCAATTTTAAAAGTATTTTTTTTCAAAATGTGTGTTATTAAACGTACTTTTCAAAAAAAATATCGAAATTTTTTTTAAACGATAATACTAATCAAATTTGTGAGTTTTAATGATAAAAAGTCATTTGACGTACTGATAGATTTTTTTCAAAAAAACTACTTCTTATTACGAAACTTTTAAGCCTAGCCCGATAATAGGCAAACGATTTTTACAATATTTTCGGAATTTTTCAAAAATTTTTGAATTTTTTAAAAATATTTTTGGTTTTTTTTATACTACGTACTTTTATGTATTTTGATGCGCTGATTACGAAAATCATAGTGACAATACCCAAAAATTTGATTTTTTTAGTGAAAACCATAAAAAAAATGCCAAAATTTATAGTTTTTTTCGTTTATTGGGTAAAATATGCAAAAGTAAAAAAATGCATAAGATAAAAAAAATGTATTTTAATAAGATCTATAACTTTTGTTTAAAAGTTTTTTTTTAATTTTGCATATTTTACCCAATAATCCCAAAAAAAAACCATAAATTTTGGGACTTTTTTTATGGTTTTCATTAAAAAAATCAAATGTTTGGCTATTGTCACTATGATTTTCGTACACTGAAAAAAAAATTTATTTGGTTCAAATACTCGATTACTTGACTTTTATCAAATAAATATTTATTTGTATCAAATAATTATTATTTGAGTCAATTAAATGATATTTGTTTCAAATACAGAAATTATTGGTTCAAATACAATTTATTTAATTCAAATAAAAATTATTTGGTTCAAATAAATATTTATTTGATAATACTCAAGTAATCGAGTATTTGAATCAAATAAATTTTTTTTCAGTGTAAACAAGGCAACAAAATACATAAAATTACGTAGTATAAAAAAACCAAAAATATTTTTAAAAAATTCAAAATTCAAAAATTTTTGAAAAATTCCGAAAATATTGTAAAAATTGTTTGCCTATTATCGGGCTAGGATTAAAAGTTTCGTAATAAGAAGTAGTTTTTTTGAAAAAATCGATCAGTACGTCAAATGAGAAAAATGACTTTTTATCATTAAAACTCAAAAATTTTATAACAATATCGTTTTAAAAAAAAATTCGATTTTTTTTGAAAAGTACGTTTAAAAATACACATTTTGAAAAAAAAAAACTTTTAAAATTGATGCATTTTTAAGGAAGTTATGAGCACTCAAAAATTGAAAGTCATGAAAATTCTCCAATTTTCAAAATTCCATCACTCGAAAACGGCTTTCTAAAAAAATTTGAAAAAATTCATGGAAGCTAATCTCAATTATTACTAAAAGAAGAAAAAAATCTCAAAAAAATTGGAGATGCAATTGCAGATGGACTTACACTTTGGAGTGGAATACATCATATATATATATATACAGTAACTGAAGGTTATGTGATTGTTGTGAATTTTCATGGAAATATTCTCCACAGGTTGCAAATATGCAATTTTTTAAAAATAAATTTAGAAAAAAATGTTAATAAACAGAAGAAATTATTATTTTATAATATTAACTTAATTTTACTGAAAAATATTTTTTTTTTTTTTTAAATATGAATTTTTTTTTAAAATTATTAAAACTTGCTTTTTCCTGTTATATTAACTTAATGTCACTGGAAAATAATTTTTTTTTCAAAAATACCTAATTGATTTTTTAAATTTTTTTCAGAAATTATTAAAAATTATCAAAAAATTATTAAAATTTGCTTTTTCCTGTTATATTAACTTAATGTCACTGGAAAATAATTTTCTTTTTCAAAAATACATAATTAATTTTTAAAAATTTTGGAAAAATTTAAAAGTTTGTTCAAAAAAAAAGCGAAATTGTTCAAATATTTATTATAAAATAAACTATTTAAAAATTGACTTTTGATAAATGTTATTCAAAAGTAAATTTAAGAAAATCATATTTAAATAGAAAAAATGGAATTAAAAAAATTTTTTTTTTAAACTCATAATTTTTATAAGCCTTTAAAATTTGTTTTTAAACTTTAACAAAAGTGTAATTTGTCAAAGCATTAAATTTTATTTCCTTATTAATTGAAACTATATAATAAATATAAATGAAATATTATTCTACTATTGATTAATATTGTCCTGCAATTACATATAAAATAGATATTTTGTTAATACAATAAACACATTCATTTTAATTATTATTATTTATTTTCAAAATAAAAATATTCATCACATTTTTAAACATATTTCATGGTACTTATATAATTTTATACCTGTTACCCATTTAAAAACATGTTTGTATGTGAAATCTGAAAAATGTTACGTATAAATTTGCGACACAATACAACAAAGAATAATTCCGACTCTTCTCCTTCTGCTCCCCACCTAAATGCATTATGCAATTCTTTCAATGACTTCTTCAATAGTATAAATTATGTTTTAATATTTTTTTCATTTATATACATATTTTAGTGACGTAATATCTTGTAATGCATGCTATATATATATATATAAAAATAGGAACATATTGTTGGTCTAATATTCGGATAGAAATGGTGACAGCTCAATTTTGACTTTATCCCTTTTGCTTGATCCCACAACATAAATATAAATTTTACTAAACGAAATCGACTTTATTTCAAATCTATTTTTTATTCTAACATTACATAGGAATATAGTATATAAGAATTTTTAGGTGAAGTGATATAGGTGAAAAAATTTTAAATAATAACTTTCGCGCTAAACATTTATTCATGTGGGACATTTAAATCTTTACACAACTTTCTCTAAACATTGCAATTAAATATTCCGAACATTTCAAATAAATCTTTAGGAAATCTTTAGGAAAGTTTCGGTACTGTGGGGGTAACTATTGAATGTTATACTTCGTGAAAAAATTGTTTCCATTTGGACCAATATTTTCTGTGGGTGAAAGTTTTGAAGCTTTACATTGTAATTTCTTTTTCTTAAATAGTGAAATAAATTTTCTTTTTAAGGGGAAGGGGATGTATGGTTAATTCGGTGTAAAAAAGGCAATTTTTTAATAATTTTTTTCGGTGATATAAAGTGTGTTACTTTATTAACTTAATTTCCACATATTAATACAATATTTGAAGTATATTTTCCTAAATTCTCATTGAAAAATATTGCAAATTGAACGAGTGGCAGTAAATCTCTTCAGGCGCCTCGTAAAAAAATGGATTTGCGGTGTTCAACGTAACTCGCAACGGAATCATCCAAATTAAAAAAAAATTTTTTTTGTTAAAGGAGATGTTTTTCGAGGTAACTACGAGGTTTTTTTTTTTTGATTTTTCGATTTTTCGCAGCACTTGAAACTCAAAAACTCGATTTTCGCTGAAAAAATCGATCTATTTTTTACTATACAATTAATAATTATTGAAAAAAAGCTCTCGTAGTTACCTGGGGAATTTAGTCAGGAAGAACTGTGCAAAATTTCAGAGCGATTGGTTCAGTAGATTTTGAGATATCGTGAACACGGACTTCAAAAATGTCATTTCAAGAAAAACGCAATTTTAAATTTTGACAAAATATTTCACTTAAAAATTTGTAACATATTTAATTTTTTTATTTTGCAACTATTAAAAAATAATATGTCAGTAATTTTTCATCCTCACATTTCCTGAACATTTCGCTGAAATTTTTAGTACAATCGGAACTGCAATATTTCTTATAGGCGGACATTTCATTGCTTGCATCAAAATTTCATTGACCTTTCATTGAAATATTTCGAATCTTTCAATAAAATATTCAGGACAAATTCAGGAAATTTTATGTGCTGTGTGGGAAATAAAAAGATATAGATGAAAAAATGAGCCTAAAATGTTTAAATCTTGAAAATTAACAGTTTTAACTCAAGGAAATTCTAGGTCCATTTTTTAAATTTATTTGTTCCGGTAGGAAAAAACTTCAGTTTTCGTAAAAAAGAATCGTGTCTTTCACTCCAAAAAAAAGCCAATTTTTTTTTTTCAAAAATTCATTTCATCAATTGAAATGGCGTCAAAAAGACTATGGATATTGATATTGAAAATTTTTTTATTATTTAATTGAAAAAGTTACCAAAGCAAAAGAGCGTTTGAAAAGAAACGTTTTTTCATCTTTATCACTTCACGTGAATTCCCCCTATTATATATATAGCACTCTACTCAATCCATTAAATCTTTAATATCCGCAAGTATAATAATCCATTTTCACAATTAGATTCATATGATTGTAGATATAGTTGATGTTTATTAATTTTCCTTCACACTATTGGATATAATAGCTCTCTGTCTGGCTAGACAAAAGTCTATTGTTCACATATTATTAAGAGAATTAAACCTCCTGTTTTTTTTAATTTGCTTGATTTTTCAATCTCAAATAACGTATATAAAAATTTATTTATTTAAGAAATAATAATAAAAAGTGAAATATTAATTTTTTTAATAATTACATTTCTCTAGATTATTAGTATATATAAACTTATTTTACACCTTACCTTAAATTTTAATTTTTCAAAATTAATTTTTTTTTCTTAAACTTAAATATTTTTCGAGCAAAAAACGTTTAAGAAACTTTTTTTCTAGGACTAAAAGTGAAAAAGTTATGAATAATTGAAAAAAAAGTTGCACTAATTTTTTAATGCAAATATCTCGAAAAATAATAAATATTTTTTTTCAAAATTTTTTTTACTCAATTAGACCCATAACCTCTACCCAAAAATGTAGTATATGGAAGAAATCGGAGGATAGACCCCTCAATCTCACGTGAAATTGATCACCTATATAAATCGTCTATATCAACTTGTTCCACATTATTTGGATCACTTTTTGATATCTAAAATTTATATCAAAGTATAACTGTCACGGACGGTATGTAGTTATTGAAAAGTTATTATGAACTGATTTCTTGATTTCACTACATTTTTTACTATCGAGAATAATATTATTATTTTTATTTTGAGATGCGTAACAGAAGAAAAATTATATAATATAAACAGTCGAATAAAAAAAAAACTTTTTTTTGGAGATGAATTAGAAAACGCTAAATTGGGTTGGTTTTCACAACATATTAAAGGTGAGTTTACAATTTGCATATTTTCTGAATATTTAAAATTATTTTTTTAATCAAAATGATTATTGAAACTACAATCAATTACAAAATAAAAATAACAAATATTAATCTGCAAACAACAGATATGTACATACTATGTGCAATTTACAGTAAAACGTCCAAAATGTAACAACTTTTTAGAGTCAGTTTTTTAAAAGGCGTTTACGGTACACTGTAAAAAGTCCAAACAGAATTTTCCCAAAGATAGGAATTTTACTTTTAAGAATCCATGGCACAAATACTATATTAAATGCAGAAATAATACAGGGTCCAAAATGGAAAATACAATATTTGGTAATTTTACTATTTCGAATATTGGGATTTTCCATTCCTCGGCGAAATTCCTACTTTTAAAGTGGGTAATGTTACCCACTTTCAAAAGGACGAAATGACTGAAGGCTGTGAAACTGCACTAGATGGGAAAATTACCATTGGCGAACGTAACCTTACTAAAGCAAAAATGACAATTCCACACTGTAGTATTTTTCCTGTTTTTAATGTAGTATAATCACAAGTGTTGGTAATATTCCCGTTTCTTTAGAAAAATACATTAGCGTGTAAAATTACCATTTTTTAAAAGTAATATTAACAATTTTTGGAAAATTCCCCAATTTTGAAATTCATAATATACGCACACATTTACGATTTATGCGCTGTGTGCAATCGTTAATGCCTGGCAGCAGTCGGCATTCATCGACAATTGTCTTTTTGATTGTAAAGATGACGTAAAAATGGTAAAATTTTACGACACGAGTTATTTTATCCTTACATAGGACAATTCATAAAAGTTTTTGTTCATAATTTAAATTAAACTTGAATATGAAAAACAAAAATGTTAATGTTTCTTGTGCAAAAATATAGGAATAAAATATAGAGTCTAATTGTGTTTATAATTATTTTTTCTTTATTTTATAAAATTCTTTAGCGAATATTAATAACTTAAAAGTAAATACCTTCATCGTAATCGCATAAAAAGTATAAATTATTCCTATATTTTTTTCTAAACATAAAAATTTAATATTTTATAAAATTTCGGAAAAGTACTGATGTCTGTATATTTACTTTCTCCTGCGTTTAAAATACCAGAAAGTGTAACTGTACAGTTCGTGGCAATTTTCCCATCTCGTCTGGAAAATTACATAACCTAAAAATTTTATTCCCATCGACAGTAAAGGTGCCGTTCTGATAGTGGGTAATAATCTTTCCCACTTTCAAAGTGGTAAAATTCCATTAAGTCTTTTTACAGTGTATAGTCAAGGCCAACGTGAAAAGAAACGTAACCGGAATCGTAATCGCAAACGCAACCAGAATAATGAGTTAGAGAAGGACAAACAATATGTCTATCCTTCTCTAACTCAGTCTTCCGGTTACCTTTCTATTCTTCCTAGACCTTCACATGAAGCAGATTAGCAGAATATATTTCAGCTAATCATGCGATTGCAGGGGATTTTTCGATCACCTGATTGGCTGCAATATATTCTGCTAATTGGCGAAGCAAAATGATGGAGTCGCCGCCCTGGTGAATGGCGGGAGAACTAGAGTTAGTGGAAAAAATTCAAATAATGTATGGGAAAAAGATTAATTATTTAAATAATTAATTCACTAATTGTTATGTCACCCTAAATATTGTAGAATTGTACAATGTAGTTATTAATTTATCCTATAGAAAAGAAATTTTTCAAAAAAAGCTTATCCTTTTTAAATTATAGCGCGTTGTTCACGATCAGTACAAACATACATATATATGTATACATACACGAGCTATGACGTCTAAATATTTACATTTCTGCGTTACAGTCAGATGTTTACAAATTATTTTTTGAGTAGTATATGTATAATGATTAAAAATATTAGTCTTGCAAACATTTTTAAATTTGCAGGAGGTTTAAAACGCCCATTGAAAGAAGGAGAACAAATATTAATAAACAAACGTATTATTCAATGTGGCTTTGAAAGTCGTGTAAGTGACAAAATGAAAATTGTTTCTCTTTGTATGTCTTCTTGTCGAGATAAAACAACTTGTTACAAAGTGGTAATCACAATTAAAAAAAAAAGTATGATACCTTATTGCTCTTGTATAGCTGGAGCAAATGGTAAATGCAAGCACGTATTTGGAACTTTGATGTATATAAATCGGTCAGTTGGGAAGAAAAATTTATTAAAATGATTTGCCAAAAAGACAGTAACTTTGAAAATTTTACAAAATAAATAAAATTTTTCAACAATTCTAATTCTTTTAATGAGTGTAATTGTTAGATGTAAATTGTGGAATTTTTTCATATACATATGAAGAAGAATTTTCAAAGTGTCTTTTGATATATGTATTTTATATTGCTTTTTTTCATTTTTTCATGCCAAATTTTATTTATATATACATATATATGTTCCAGTATAGGGCTAGAGAACTTGCCGAATTTAAGTTGTACCGATTTACAACAAAATTGGGGTAAATGGAAAAAGAAGGCAAATTTTGTTACGGGTGTATCCATAAATAATTTATGTCACTATCAAAAAAAGCAGACAATCGTAAAAATGACACAAGATCTGGAAGACGATATTCTACAATCGCTACTTTCGGGTATAAAATTAATAAATTAGACTTTGCATAAGAAAAGGTGAAGTTTAATAATACTCGAAATTCTAACTATTCATTATAAGTATATTTTATTTTTTACAAAGTTGTTTTCAGTCACATTCATTTTGAGACGGTGAATGTATCTACTTTTTTTATTATTACAAACGAAAGCTTCACGTTTTTTATATAAATATCTAGAGTTTTACAAAAAATTTAATGTTACATATGAAAGAAACTTTGAGTTATAGTTAGAAAATAAACTTAAGTAACTTAAAACTACTTAACTTAAAAAAAATGTTAAGGACGTTTATACCCGAAATGCAGACCTTCAGAAAAAAATTAAAATTGTTTTTAAAAAGTAAAAATATTATTAATTTTTTTAAGAATAAAGGTCAATTTTCTAGAAAAATATTAATTATTTACACATTATTCAAGTAATCAAAACATTTTTCATATCGCTTTTTGCCGATTTTTTAAAAATGATTCGATTTGAATCAATGATTGCTTATTTTTCAGAAAATGATTCTTTACAAATTTACCGTTTTGAAAATATAGTCATTTGTTCAAAAAGAGTGAAATATTTTTGAAACAAATTACTATTATTTTCTATAGAGAAAATAAACCATCATTGATTCAAATCGAATCATTTTTAAAAAATCGGCAAAAAGCGATATGAAAATGTTTTGATTACTTGAATAATGTTTAAATAATTAAATTTTTTTCTAGAAAATTGACATTTATTCTTTCAGAAAATAATAATAATATTTCTACTTTTTAAATAACAATTGTAAATTTTTTTCTAAAAATCTGCTTTTCTAGAATAAACGTCCTTAATAACTTGGAAAGTATATCAATTCTTCCAAGATATATATTCAATGTTATTTATGTATTTAAAAATTTTCAAAACTCAATGTATCAACATTTTCAAAAACTTTAACATTTTAATTTTTTTTTGAAAAAATAACATTAAATTTTTTAATAAAAGTGCAATTTTGGTTATTTTATTTTTTATATGTTGCTGCTTATAGGAGTACCACTATGTGAGGCAGCAATACATATGGCTCGAGTGAGAGAAACCAGTAAAAAATTAAATTTACCGAGGGTTTAATGCAATATAAGTTTTTAAAAATTTCTCAAATTTTAAAGTTTTATACTTTTTATTTTTTAGAAATGTTTTTAATATGCAGAATACACTTAACAATAAAAATGAAATTTAAGATAAAAAAAAAACGAAAAAACTTTTTTCCTATTAAAACTTGTCTTCTTTTAATATCGGAGGTGAAAGGTTTACAAGTCCACAGATAACACGCATTATTTCAGGACTCCAAGAAACTACATCCCAACTTAAGGGACCTTTCAAAATTTTGAAAATTTTTAAACGTTGAATCGATCTTTCTACATGTACTCTCGCTGAAGCAATTTTTTGATTTAAATTCGCTTCCTGTGGTGAGAATTGTACAACAATTTTACTCTTAGAGCAGGGCATAATTAATTTAATTTTACGCTTTTTACACTCATTTTGGATTAACACACCTTTATCGCACATTACACTATCTTCATCAGGAATCAATTTATCAAGAATACCAGATTCAACAATTATTTGTTTATCGGAGGCACGTCCTGCATATGAATCACTGACGAAAGATATTAGACCTGATGGAGTTATTCCTACAATAAATTTAACAGTATGTCCACTTTTATACTGTGAATAAGTCGCGATTCTACATTTTAAACATTTTCTTTTTTGAATGGGTATTTCGGTTCCGTCAAAAATAACTCGTGTCGATGGAAAAAATTTGAAGCATTTTGGCATATTTTCTAAAATTTCATCTTTTGGAGGCCATCGAATAAGAGGCGACAAACACGCACTTAGTAATCCAAGCATGGTATAGAATTCATTTCTGCATGTTTGGCGAGATACCCTAAAAAGAATGGCTATGCAAGCGAAACTTAAATTTAACTTCAACTTTGCTAAAGTTAAAATAATTTGGTCTTTTAAATTCAATTTGGAAGTCGCTTTTCCCATTTGATTTGTTTTCTTCACTTTTTCTATTGAAGATTTTAAATAGGCGAAATTATCGAAGGATGTTACACCTGAGACAGTATTTAATTTAGTGTCTGTGTCTAAGAAATCGGAAAAAATGAAGCTTTCTTGTACTTGGAGAGACTTGTCGCAAGTTTCCTTTTCCGTTTGAACTTCTTTGTCAAACATAACTTTTTCAATTGTCTTCATATTACGCGTAATTATTCTTGTACCTTGACACATACTACACTTTTGCACTTGAATTTCCATAGACTTTTCAATGTTATCATTCACCTTCAACTCTGTATGCATTTCAACATCGACTATATCTTCATCATCTCTATGGAGACGTTGCAGTTTATGCAAATTCAAAAACCTAAACAGTGTGAAAAATTCAATTAAAAACAAATAAAAAATAATTTAATTTTTCAGTGTTATTTATTTATTCAGGTAAGTAAAAAAGTGAAAAAAATAGAGTAATAAAAAAGTTAAATAATATTTTATTTAACTAAAAATCATATACAGGATCATTTAGGGTAATTGGAAACAGAATTTCTAATGTTCACCAATAACGTAACCGCAATTTTCAATTTTTAAGCCTGAGATTGAAATATTGATGTCGAAAATATTTATTTGTATGTAAATTAAGCTCAAAAATCTTTCGTTTCTAATTACCCTAACTGACCCTACAGTTCTAATGAAAAATATGATTTTTCAAATTGTACTCTACAAAATAAAATTATCGATAAAAGAACGAATCATTAAAAAAAGAATAATTTGTAAGTTTTGCTTTCTATTTTTCAAACACTTTTATATATATATATATATATATATATATAAGTATTTTTTATTTATAATTTTCATTTCAAATTTAATCAAAAAACTTTATTAATAACATATGGAAAATAAATATTATACCTCTTAGAGTTATTACGTTTCATTACTCGCATCTCTCTTTCCTTCATTGTGTTTTGATTTTTTATTTTTTGTGTAATTAAAGTAACAGGTAAATATAATGAAGGAACTACATTTTTCTTTAAATCTCTTCTGAATCCATTGGCATCTTTAAAATAAATATTGTAGTGATTAGTAAAATATTTGCATAAAATTTCGATGAAAGACTTACTTCCTTTTAATTTACTAAATATAAAAGGTAACTTTAATTTTTGACTTACTAATAAAATAATCCTGCTTTAGAAAATGTTTACTACACACCAGTGTGTGTTTTGTGATACTTTCGCTTTTCATTTTTAATATTTTTAACCACTGCTTTTTTTGACGTTCATTTTTTGGAAACTTGTGAAAACTTATGTTTTCAGTTATACTCTCCTTGACTTCGCACTGAGGTACGTAACACATTCTACGTTTCCTTGTAGACATTTTCATTTTCTTTTTAACAAATATGAGCAAAAATCACCAATTTGTTATTTATTAACAATTACAAAACTTTTGTAATCAAAGCAAAGGAACATAAACTAAGTTAAGTCGTTTAGAGTGATTCTATGCATATATGATATACATATATATGTATGTTTGTACTGATCGTGAACAACGCGCTATAATTTAAAAAGGATAAGCTTTTTTTGAAAGATTTCTTTTCTATAGGATAAATTAAAAACTACATTGTACAATTCTACAATATTTAGGGTGACATAACAATTAGTGAATTAATTATTTAAATAATTAATCTTTTTCCCATACATTATTTGAATTTTTTCCACTAACTCTAGTTCTCCCGCCATTCACCAGGGCGGCGACTCCATCATTTTGCTTCGCCAATCTGCTCGCTTCCTTTCACTCGAAAAGGTGTCACATTTTGGACTTTTTACTGTTAAATGCACACAGTAATTTACATTCCGAACTCTGCTGATTGCATTATGCCAGTTATATCTGTGTCGTCTGCAGATTAATATATGATGTATTCCACGCCAAAGTGTAAGTCCATCTGCAATTGCATCTCTGATTTTTTTTTCTTTTAGTACTAATTGAGACTAGCTTCCCTGAATTTTTTCAAATTTTTTTAGCAAGCCGTTTTCAAGTTATGGAATTTTGAAAATCGGAGAATTTTAATGACTTTTAATTTTTGAGTGCTCATAAGTTCCTTAAAAATGCATCAATTTTAAAAGCATTTGTTCTTCAAAATGTGTGTTTTTAAACGTACTTTTCAAAAAAAAAAAAAAAATCGAAATTTTTTTTAAACGATATTACTAATCAAATTATTGAGTTTCAATGAAAAAAAGTCATTTGACGTACTGATCAATTTTTTTCAAAAAAACTACTTCTTATTACGAAACTTTTAAGCCTAGCCCGATAATGGGCAAACAATTTTTACAATATTTTCGGAATTATTCAAAAAATTTTGAATTTTGAATTTTTAAAAAATAAATTTAATGAAATACATCACAAATTCAATTATATAAAAATTATTTTTCAATTAAAATTTTTATGAAATTTAACAATTGTTTATAATTTAAAAAAAATATCACAATAAAATTGAATTATTTTTTAAAAATTTCAATTCAAAATAAACTAAAATTCAATTATTACCCGAAATTTTAATTCAAAATCAATTAAAAATCCAATAATTATCCAAAATTTTCAATTTAAAATTTAATTATTTACCAAGTTTTCAATTTAAAATGAAATAAAATTCAATTATTTTCTAAAATTTCTATTCAAAATTAATTATCCAAATTTTCAATCAAAAATGAACTTAAATTAAATTATTATCCAAAATTTCAATTAAAATTCAATTATTTCCCAAAATTTTCAACTCAAAATGAAGTGAAATTCAATTATTTTCCAAATTTAAAATCAAATAAAATTTCATTAGGGCGCACTCACACCTTTTTGCTGCCTGCCTGCCTGCAGGAGTTGTCATGGCAACGTGAAGGAGTAACAGAGATAGTAAATTCAAATTTGAATTTTCTCTCTCTGTTACTCCTACACGTTGCCATGACAACTCCTGCAGGCAGGCAGGCAGCCAAAAGGTGTGAGTGCGCCCTTATTCTCAAAAATTTGAATTCAAAATTAATTGAATTTTCAATAATTTGAATTTAAAAGCATCTAAAATTTAATTATTTCTGAAATTGTCCATCGAAAATTTTTTTTTCAAATTTAATAATTTCAATTATAACTCTAAGGAAATTCAATTATTTTTAACTATTTTAATAATATTCTTTGAAAATTCAACTATCTGAAACACTTGTTCAATTAAAAAGGATTTTCAAATTATTGTATTTTGTCCGCATTTTCTAATAAATTTTTAGTGAAATCTTCTAAAATTTTAATTACAAAACACTTAAGGCCAGGTCCAAGTTGAGTCAGCTGTTCCTTTGAAGTTTCAATGGAACAGCTGACACGACTTGGACCTGGCCTTAAAGATTCAATTAAATTCAAAAATCTCAATTTTAAATCTTTGAAAATTCAATTAAATTTAAAAAATGTTTTCCAAAAATTGTTTGATAAATTATTTTTAGTACTGTAAAATTTAATAATTGTTTGAAAATTAACAATATCTTTTGAAATTTAATTATTTCCAAAAATTTCAACTTTAACCCTTCGAAAAGGATTGTTATTAAAAAAAAAATCTATTTAAAAATCTGTAAAATATTTTTGTTAAAATAAAAAACAAATCCACTTTTTTTTTGAATATAAATTGACTAAAACGACTTTTTGTGTCTTTAAGTTGATTCGAGGCCTGTGTTTTTATAATTAATATTTAATAGGTATTCGTTGGCCCCGGGTACCTTAAAAATTAATTTTTTTCAAATTACTATCTTGTACGAAATTTCCTGGCGCATCTTTTTTCTCAACATAAATTTTTTGTATTTGTATACAATTTTTGAATCAATATACAACATTAAAAAAAATTTCGTTGGTAAACGTTGTGTACTTCAGCTTCGTGAATTGAATTTTCGAATTTGGAATTTTAAAGAAACTTATTTCGAAATTTGGAAACACAATTATACAACTTTGGCAAAAATGAGAAAAAGAATTGTCAAAATTTGACACGTCATAAGATTACTATTCAAAAAAACACGTGAAATCAGAAAAGGCCAACTTCAAGTTAGGACAGAAGGACAGACGAAGCATTTTATTATTATATAATTACTTTCTTAGTAACATTACAATAATCACCTACTGTTGTTGATTTACAGTACCTGCTATCACAGTGTTGGAGCTTGCTTAAAAGCGAAATGGAAATGTCAAGGGATGAGAAGCAAGATCTGTTGATCATCTGCAAGCGCAATGTTTGAGACGTATCTGCAAATGTATTGGACATCTATACATCTGTCTAATTGTTTATTTTACCATACACATGGACACACAAATGTCGTCAATTGCTGTTGGTACCATGACACATTGACATATGGGATTGGATGACCTATATATCTATGATCAACGAACCTTGCCTCTAAGGTAATTTGTCCTCACATATATAAATATTTTCAGACAACGCACTTCATTTATATTCATAGCTCATTTATTCTCAATATTTAAAATTATTACAGAATAAGATAATTTTTAATATTCCTCCGCTTTTAAAATCCCCAAATTTTATGTGCTCGATTCTCCAAAAAAGTGCATTTTTATAATATATCACTGTAAAAAAATTTGGAATTTTTTCCGATAAAATATGGAACGCATTATTATGTTCTAAAAATCATTAGTTAGAATTTTGATTTTATAGAATTTCATTTGTCATAATTTTTTTCGAGACGAATTTTTATTTGTTCGAATTAGTATTATCTATGACCTTTTAAATTTGTCTAAATATATTTTTTTCTTATTCTTTGTAGAAAAAAAAGGTTTACGTATTTTTTTTATTTTTTTATAAGTGCTCAAATTTTCGAGTTATGAATTTTTAAAAATCTGATTTTTTCGAGTTTTTTTGAAATATACTTAATTTCAATGACATGTAACTCTAAAAGTATTGAATTTAGGAATTATGATTAACATACAAAAAAGTTTCAGTTTTTTATCGACTTTCAAAATATGTTAACGAAAAAAAAAATTTTGAATTTGTTTATAAAAAACAGCGATTTTTCATAAACAAATTAAATTTTTTTAAATTTAGGCACGATTTTTTTTATTTTTTTTAAATTTTTACACACATGAAAATAAAAAGAAAATTTTGTAATAAGTTTTGGAGTGGGCCTGATGATCCTTTTGTTTATATAATTTGATTTAAAAAAACATTTTACTTTTTTTTTTCGTTTTTTTTTTTTATTTTTCAAAATATAATGGATTTTAATTTGCTTTTCTATGAGTTTACTAGTAGATCCTAGTGTTAAAAACACTTTTCATTTTGAAAAAGAAAAAAAAACGAAAAAAAAAGTAAAATGTTTTTTTAAAACCAATTATATAAACAAAAGGATCATCAGGCCCACTCTAAAACTTATTACAAAATTTTCTTTTTATTTTCATGTGTGTAAAAATTAAACAAAAATTAAAATAAATCGCGTCTAAATTTAAAAAAATTTAATTTGTTTATGAAAAATTGCTGTTTTTTATAAACAAATTCAAAATTTTTTTGTTCGTTAACATATTTTGAAAGTCGATAAAAAACTGAAACTTTTTTGTATCTTAATCATAATTCCTAAATTCAATACTTTTAGAGTTACATGTCATTGAAATTAGGTGTATTTCAAAAAAACTTGAAAAAATCAGATTTTGAAAAATTCATAACTCGAAAATTTGAGCACTTATAAAAAAATAAAAAAATACGTAAACCTTTTTTTTCTGCAAAGAATAAGAAAAAATACATTTAGACGAATTTAAAAGGTCATAGGTAAATCTCACGTGGAATCGCCCATATATTACACAATTTTTATATAACCAAAAATTCACTTCACAAAATTTTTATATTTGTTCGAATTTAATATGCATTTTAAAGAATTTTTATTCGGTAGAATTTCTTTGCATAGAATTTTCTTTCAGATGAATTTTCATTTATTCGAATTATTAATTGATACAATTTCCATATAGCCAATTTTTCATAATACAGAATTTTTACTTAACCGAAAAATCATTTAACAGAATTTCTAATTCGATTTTTAAAATCAATCAATCAAAAATCATCCATAAGATTGTGATTGTTTGATTTTCAAAATCGCGACGAAATCTTTCTGTCAATTGTTTGTTCGGCCATTTGCAAAATTTCGGACAAATGAAAATTCTATATCAATTAGAAATTTTGTTAAATGATTTTTCGGTTAAGTATAAATTCTGCAGTATGAAAAATCGGTTAGGTATATAGAAATTCTATTAAATAATAATTCGAAAAAAATGAAAATTCATTTGAAAGAAAATTCTACGCTACTTTCTAGCCAACTACCTAATGGTAGTTGAATTTCTCGGCAACATTTTTTTCAGTGTTTGTTTCAAAAATTGAATTTAATTCCCTTCAATCGGAACAACTTTTGTGTTTCGATCATTTTTCTCGAAAATGCATAAGTTTCGAGATATTTTATCGTTTATCCATACATTTTGAACACCCTGTATATAAGAGGTAAAATTCCTGAACTGTCCAAGTCTAAAGTTTGAAGTTATTGAACTGGTAACTTGTAACTTTAGTATATTGTTGCCTTATATGAGAGTAACAAATCCCTAAAATATTAGCTCATTTAAAAAAAAAAAATTAGAAATAAGTAATGGAAGTTTTCATTTCCTAAGTGACACTGACATTTTCAAATCCACATAATTATCTCAAACCTTTATGAATTTAATTTACAACTAGTGTTTTTTGACGCATTTTTCATGTATACTTTTCAGTAAAAAAAAAAAATATTTTCTATCAAACAAAATTTTTTTAATTCCTATTTTTTTAAAATTAAGCCTTCTTTTTTTAGATAAAAAAATCAAATTTAATAAAATTTTTTTTTTATATATTTTTTTTTTAGAAAACTGACATATTTCCGATTAAACATAATGTATAGGTTTGAAAGTAGGCCGAAAAAAGGGTTTCGTGAAAACAAGAAAAAAAGAGTAATGAAATTGTCTTTCTTATATTTTCTCGCAAAATTTTTGTTTTCTCAGCTTTGCTTTTATATTTTTTTTAGTTATCAAAAATCTCACCTTTCTAATAAAAATACAGAAAAAGGAAAAAAAATTGTCCAAGAAGGTCAAAACTTAAAAGTAAGGGTTAATTTTAAAAAAAATGGGGTTAAAAATTTTTTTCGGAAAACTTTTTATGACATTGTAAAGTACATGAAAAATCCTTTAAAAAAACACTAGTTGAAAATTAAAATCAATAAACATATTTTAAAATTACACGCATCTGAATGTGAGTGTATATGGAGGATAAAAAAAAAGTAATTATTCAGTTGCGTATAACTTTAACGTTATAAACGTTGCGTTTATGGATTTTAAATATTTTGTTTATAAAAATTTTTTCACTTTGATTTTATTTTTGAAAATTAAAAGGTAATTTAATTTTGCTTTTTTGTGGGTAAAATTATTTAAACAAAAAGTTTCCTGAGACTAATTCCAAAACATTTTGCAAGTTTTTTTTTTATTGTTTTCAGATATGCAATAAACCAAAAAAAATTTTAAACGATCAAACTAAAAATAAATAAAATGTTTTATAAAAAAATTAATAATTTTTAAAATGAAAATTTAAGAAAATTTTCTCGACAACACTTGTTAAAAATTAAAAAACAACTTTTATTTTCTTAAAAAAGTTTTTCAAAAATTTATTTTAATGCAAATACCCAAGTGCGTAAACCAACATGCGCCAATATTGGCCCAGCATTGTCAAATCGGGCACCAAGTCTTGGCAGACAATATTGGGCCAACTCTTGTGGTGTTAACTGCGGTTGGACGTCGGCAGCCAAGTATCAGACGCCATTACTGGGCCAATCTTGGCTGCCATTAGTGGCCCAGTATTGTCAAAGTTTAAAAAAGTTTAAAAAATTATAAATATTAATTAATTAACTCATTAATTCATTATTTATTTATTTATTTACACGGGCAATATCGGAATAATTATACATTTATAATTCAAGTCCTGACAGAAAGCACAATTGTTTAAACATTTGAAAATTTGTAACGCTCGCGGGAATCGAACTTGCAACCTAACGCACCGAAGTCTAACACGCTAACCACTACACTATACGCGGTTATGGGAATCTCAACACAAAAATGGTTTAATAAGCTGCATTTGAGGAACATTTCAGCCGTTAATGCGCCATTACTGGACCAAGATTCGTTCCAACTGTGGAAAAAACGACATGTTAAAATAAATTCAACATTTCAGCCGTCAATGAGCTAATAATGACCCAGTAATGGGACAGACTTCGTCTCAATTATGGAAAAGTAGAATTACCAAGTATTGGTGCCAATATTGGCCCAGTAGTGTGACGGAGTTTCGCTCAATTATGGCAAATTGGAGTAACTGAGACGCGGTGCCAATATTGGCCCAGTAATGGCACAGAGAAGGCCCAATAATGGCAAATTAGAATAACCGAGAAACAGTGCCAATATTGGCCCAATAATGGGACGGAGTTCGACCCAATTATGGCAAATTGGAGTAACTGAGACGCATTGCCAATATTGGCCCAGTAATGGGACAGAGTTTGGCCCAATAATGGCAAATTAGAGTAACCGAGAATTGGTGCCAATATTGGCCCAATAATGGGACGAATTGATCGCCAGTATTGGTGCAGTAACGTTTGCCATACTTCGGCGGACATTACTTGGCCAATGTTGGTCCGTATTGGCACTCTTGGCATTTCGCACATGGGTAATTAAAGTGAATAAGAAAATAATTAAATAGCTAATTGTATAATTATATCCATTATAATTATTTTATAAACATTTTTATTTTTACTGAACTGTTTTTATATATTATAAAATCTTTGGTTTTATAATAAACATATTTTTATATTTATTTTTTGATTTTTTTAAATAATAATTTGCAATATATATTATACTTAATAAGAAATAAAAACTCTTGGTGTTTTCGATTTTATATATAATAAAATATTAATTAGTTAGTTGACTAATTTAATTAATATTTAATTTGTGTTGGGTTACTAAAAATTTCACACACTTTTTCCTAAGAAAAGTATGTATTACCTGGAGCAGAGATTTCACTATTGCAGTGAAACTTATCTCTGTTACAGTTAAAGATTTCTTTTCGTATACAATAAATTACAAAACTACCAGTACTCAGCCAGTACTGAACCAGTAGTGTTTGCTAGTACTGGTGCCAACTTTGGCAGCCAATACTGATAAAATGTTATCATCCCAAAGTTACGCCAACTCTGGTGCCAATACTGGGTGCCAGTACTGCGCCATTAGTAAATTTTTGATTGGGACGTAGGGTTTTTCATAGAATATCGAATTGACTTTATGTAGGAGTATGTATAGATTTCTATATAATAAAAGATCTTACACAGGACACCTGTAAGGTATCATTAAAGAAATTTACAATAGGGCCTAAAAAAATTTAGTTTATTTCCATTTTTTCCAAACTAGGAAAACTGTCAAGATCCTGTATAGGCCCCTGTTTTAACTATGTTCAGTTGGGTCAATTTCTGCACAGGAATATATTTGAAGCCAATAAAATTAGTTATTTTTAAAGTAACAAAGATTTTTTTACTATTAAATATCATATATATATATATATATATATGTAAAATGACATCATTTCTTCGTATAAGATATAACCATAGGGGTATAAAAAAACTTTAATACATATTTTTAATTTTTCTTTTATAAATATTTAGTAATCAGCTTTTATTTGATAATATATCAGTGAAAAAAGATGATATTTAATGTGATAAATGAAAATTCATGTGCTACATGGAATATTTGTCTGAAAAGTTGTGGTCTAAAGGAATTGTAACGGCATCTGGAAAGTGTATGTTGTTGCTTTAAAGCAATTTGAGGACAAGTAGCAAAGTTTATTGTCTTAGGTTGCTCAACGAGTAGCAACCAGATAAGCTGACGGACAGGCCGCCGCGTGACTAAAACCCGCTCTCTGCTTGCTGCAGCTGGTTGCAAATAATCGATTCGCTAAAATGTCCTTCATCTCGGTCATGCGCACTTTATTTCAACCCCAAACGCGACAGCATACGCACCATGAGGGTGTGGGATGGACACCTTTTCAAAATATCCGTAGAGTGTCGCCTTCGTTGAAATAAATAGAAGCGCTTGCGTCCTTTAAAGCGCGGCAGGGGAAAATTTGAATTTTTTTTTTCCCTCAAATGATAGGAGAGTTCACTGCTCCAGACATGTTGAAAACCATGGCTTAAGGTTCAGTAGGTTAAGGTTCTTTCATAGCAGGATAGATATATTCTACTATTCTTATTTTTCTTTACAGAATGGAATGTTTAAAAATATTGATGTAAATTAGATAAATTTTTATTATTTTGATTGAAAATTCTGTTACATGACACGTGTTTGGCATTATAGTTTAAAAAGTTCTTTTTATTTTGGCACATATATATGATTTTTGGTGATATGATGATTGTTGGAGGATTAATGAGAAATGGTCCGGGACTTAAAATTAATCAGGCCACGAATCCATAGTGTGCAGAGGATCGACGGTTCTGCCGGTTTTTCTCGAGTAACGCGTTGAGAGGAGAAGTATCAAGCTGAGAGAAGCAAAAGAGAAAGAGGAGGTGGAGGGGGTGGGGGGATGGTGGTCCAGCAGATAGATGGGGAAGTAAAAAGTTGGTGGAACGTCGACTAGAGGAGACAGGGGCGACAAGGTTGCCGTGAACGGAAGGGGTGGAAACGGACGGGCTGCGCGAGAAAATCGGGGGTGGAGAGAGAGATATAGGAAGTGAAGAGTGGTGGTGTAGAGCAGAAGAGCGCTGGGGTGGAGGCGTTGGGTTGCCCGGGCGGGGAGCGGCAAAAACGAAGATGGCGGACCTCGCGACGCCCGTCCTCCACTGACGGTTCGAAGAACGACCGGCGGTTCGTGTGACACCTGCAAAACTCCACGACTTTTCATGTCATTTTTTCCCCTGTCGTGGATATATCTCGTTCTTCTGTCTAGGTGTCTGTTTTTGCAAATTCGCAAGCAAAACCTAAATATACAAATCGGGATCCAAAAAAGTAAAGTGTACCTTTCTCCCTCTCTTTCTCTCTCACTCTCTCACACAATCAGTCAATTTTTCGCAAAGTGATTTTCGATTTGAATTTTTTTTGATTCCAGTGTGTCAATGTACTGTAAGTTTGATTGAACAAGAGTTTACATCCCCGGCAAGGAAGATGTAAATCAAAGGGATAATGCAGGATTAACGGATAAGGAGGGATTAGTCATTGAGTATCAGTGGAATTAAGGAAATTGATGATAGCTATGTCTGTTACTGTTGAATAGATTTATTTTATTAGGAAAAAAAAAAAATTAGAGTGTCGGTAGTAGAGTAAGCTGTTAAAAGGTTTTAAAATTAAAAAGAGATGGTAGTAATGACTTGGTGATGATTCGCGTGAATTAAGTGACTGAGGTGTGAGTGTGTGTCGTATCAGTGAAAAGGTGGATAAGAAGACTTGTTTGAAAGTTAAGAAGTGACAACTGCAGGATCAGTTGAAATTAGGAAGAGGTTGATCAGATCATTTGGAAAGCATTACGATGAAGGTCGAAGCAGAAGATGGATTCGTCTGAGTAAGTCGAATTAATCTACGACCTATAGTAATGCCGCGAAGGTGCGCGCGCGCGCGGTTATGTCGTAACACGGTGCCGTCCTCGAGTCGCGAGTGCTAATACTTAACCTCACTTTCGTATCGCGTAGTAGTGCGTGCTCGACCCTGTCGTGATACGACCTACATAGAGTGACGTGCTGACAGGTTAGAAGGGACGTGACCTCGTCACATCCGTTCGAGGGTGTGTCCCCATGGGGTGTCGCGTTCGGGTCCGAGGATTGTCGCCTGATACACGTTCATCATCATCATCATCGTGGTCGTCGTCGTTGTGCGTCTTTCGACGAGTGTGATAATCGGCGGTGACGAAGTGATAGAGCGTGGTGGTATTGCCGCGTGTTCATGATGCAGCATGAACCTCAGTGTCTTGTTGTGGAAGCTCGCGAGCCTCGGCAGGGGGACTACGTGCAGCAAGAGGAGCAGGTGTCCAGTGGCAGGCACTACTACTGGGAGAGGGTGGTCAGTGTGTTGGAAGAGGACGAGAGTTCGTCGGTGCTGCTGTCACAGCTACAGCAGCAACAGCGAGCTGTCGATTGTGCATCGCTGGCCCAGGGGAACTTCTAAGGGCCCCGCCAACCCGGACCGTACAGGCAGGCTCCTGGTCCATCGGCCCGGGACACGCACGAGCGGGGCTGATTCCGTCGAGAGGAGAGCCGCCGGCGGGCGAGTCAGACGACCCTTTCTCTGGATCGTCGACCACAAGATCGTGGAGGCAATACGAGAACCATCAGGGGATAGCAGATGTCAAATCCGTCATCAGGGGTTCAACGAAATTTGGAAAGGACCCATGCAAGGTGCACGGGTCATCGTGGAGGAAGCTGTATGCGAGGAAAGCGCACCGTCAGAAACCAGAAATAAGAGGCTCCAGCACCATCAGTTATCGGAATCAGTACCGTGTTTTGGTGAGATTCAGAGCCGTTCAGAACGGCACCAAGGCGAAAGCCAACAGCGTACGCGTGAGGCGAAAGGCGGGCTCAAGCCTTCCTGGCAGCGATGCGGGGCCTCCCGCAGCACGGCATACGCGAACACAAAACGCACAGCCTCTCCATTTGCACTTGGAGATACTCTCCTCATCATCGAGCGGTGTTCCTTGGACCCCCCGCAAAGTCACAAAGTGGGATCACCAGGAAAAACGAAAGTTGCGCCTTCGTTCGGCGGTCCTCGTCGAGGAGCGTCGACGACAAAGACGTGGGGACCTCGAAAGAGTCCCCGATCTCATGCCCATGCGACTCGACCCGCCCCGTGTCTCGGGACCACCCACTACCAGCAAAAGCAAAATATCGGCACCACAGGCTGAATTTAAATTATCCTCCTTTAATCACATCCGTCAACAGTATTCTCCAATCTCACATTCTTACTCTCACAAGCATCAAACCGTTAAACAACCCACAGACAGAGAGACTGATAACCTTGCCACATCTTCTCACATCCACAATGCGGATCAAACAGATCAGCCGTACTCGTGTTTTGTCCCCACGTTACGTCAACGCTATCATCCATATTTTCAAAAAGAATGGGTCACAAAACGAAGAAAAATTCCCCACCGAAAGTCATCCAATTCTCTTGTGGACACATCGACAGATGAAAAGTTCAAATTCTTGGGCTTACCTTTTAACAATGTGCTTGCTTACACTGCCTTTATTTACGACGATAACGGCAATTACGACGCAAAACATGTCAATAGTTACCAAACAGAAGTACCAAATTTCAAAAATCAGCGAAAACGTGATACTCAGGAAGAATACCGCCAAACGACCCTACAGACGAAAATTGCGAGAAAAAAATTTATCAATAATAATTTATCAGAAACAACCACGTGCGTCGTATTGCCAGGTGAATATTACATCGATGCCTTCAAGTCCACAAGAATTATCGCGAGTGAAACGAGGGTCGAGAGATTTTTCAACGAGACTGATGTTTGCGAAGAGAATTTTTCACATATTAAAAGCAAGAGGAAAAAGACCCCTTCACGGTCTCACTGTTGTTATAAAGACAAAGACTCGAGCACCAATGACTTTAGAAACGACAAAAGTGACTACTTGTTTAAGAGCAGAAGACGAAACAAGAACAAAAGAAACCCCCACACTGCCCTACTCTCAAAGTCAACTATTCACGAATCTCGTGAAAGTAAACTTTCCCTCTTCAAGGATACCAATCCTTATTTCTCAAAAAATAAAAAAACAAAAGAAAGGAATTTCCTGGGTAATACATTGTTTTTCATCTTGTACTTTATGGCATTGCCCATGTTGTGCTCTACGAATCCCTCGGCTCAGGTCTCATCGGCCTTGGCGCAAAAGTCGCCCCTCTCACGTAATGAAGATTACATGCAACGTAACGGTTCATTCATGGCTCATCAGTACATTGCAAGTAACAATTTGCGGCAAGGTCAGCAGCAAGTTGTTCAAGAGCGTCAAAAAGCCCATCCTTACAACGAATATACTTGGGAGGTGAACCAAATTAACCCGTGGCTGTCGGCATGTGATCTAGCGGGTCCAGCTCCAGCTGATCTTCAGGGCAGTTGTGGTCCACCGGAGGTTCCCAAGTATTGTCCATTTCCCTGTAGGCCGAAGTCACCGGGTGATAGTAACGCTGCCTTTCGTGAAGTCATTGAAAGGCTTGAACTTGTCAGCGATAAAATTAAGAAAAGAAAATCAAGATCGTGGAGCAGTATGAAAAGGCCAATGGGTGATATTAATGAGAGGGGTTCAAATCGCGGTGGCAGGAAGTCGCGAGCGGACACAAGTCCTGGCAATGGGGTGGCTCCGGAACAGTGCCTTTTTTACCTTGAGGAGTCGCATAAGAGAGACATCTGTCGGGATGATTTTGGTCGGGGTAGTCCGCTGAGTTTTTTAACCCCGAGGGAGAATCGATATTGGTTCACGAGTGGCCTGCGTCTACGGCATTGCTGCGAGCACGCGGTGGTTAACGCCCTGACGCCTGGCAAGGATGGCCCGCTTGAAGATGTTTTGAATGGGGGCAAAAAATGCGTTGATGCCTTGGATAAACTACTTCTAGTCGATGCCCTCGCCGCCAGATTACACTGCGAGTTTGAGGAGGTATTGGCGCGATACGACTGCGGGCAATCGTACTCGGTCATCCACAATTGCACCCACTGCAAGGTCAGTTCAACATTTATTTATTTTTTTTTTACTGAGGCTCTTATTTTTTCTCTTCATATACAGGACTTGTTAAATCTAATAAACGGATTGTTAATGTAGAACTAAAAAATCTGGTTTGTTGTAACAAATCAGATTTGTTAGTTCTACATTAAAAATCCGATTGTCAGTGTGAATCATTTTTCTCTGTGACAAGAGAAAGAAGAATCATTAAAATTACCTTGAGGAGTGTAAAACCTAAAAATTATAGTGTCAACTAAAGTAACAGCACTTTGTTATACTATGTAGGTTATTATCAACATAGTGTCCAAATAAGGTATTCTGTTCCGAGAAACACGTTTAATTGTAGTTTCCGATGAAGGACACAATATTTGTGTCGAAACGTGAAACAAATCATTTTTTAAATTTTAATAAAAGTCGTATAGGCCAAAACCAAAAAGAAGAGTTTTTACTTTACTTTTCTAAACTGAATATATCAACGACTTAAAGTAAATAGGGTGAAACCCTTTGAAATTAATTAACATTATAATTCAAAATTGTCTATATAGTAAAAGAGGAAAATAACTTATTTTTTTATGCAATTTTTAATTAAATAGAAAAATAGATTTTACTAAAAATCATATAAAAATTTTTATAAACATTAAATAATTATAATATTATTAGAAAAGGTTAAATAACAAAACGATAACATTCGAACATATGGATTTTTTAATAAAATTTCCTCCAACGTTTCGAAATGACATTAATTTCCTCTTCAGGGAGTCTGACAATTAATAAAATTAGAAAAATTAATTAAAAAATACAAAGAAATTAAATTGATATAACACGATAATTAATAAGGAAAAATATAAATTAACAATGAAACAATATAAATAAATTAAAATATTTCATTTACTTTGAAATTAACATTTTCGTGATTAGAAACCTCTTCAGTGATTATAAATTTTTTTATTAATCTAGAAGTAATTAAAAACTTTAAATTTTTATTAAAATACAATCAATCATTTTATAATTTTTGAATTTCTATAAATAAAATCTATAATTAAAATTCTTAAAAATACTTTTTCAAGAACAATTTTTTTTTTAAATAACTTCAATCAATGTTTTTATATATAATATCTACTAACAACAAAAATAGTCCTAAAAGGACAAATTTTTAAATGTCAAATTAACAAAATCTTTTATTAATAGATATTCATTTAATATTGAATATTCTTTTGTACTCGCGTATTGTGTAAAACTCGCCTGGAGTGTAAAAGAAATTATAAAATGTGAACCGTTTACAAAGGAAAAAAATGTATTACAGTTTAAGTGGAATATCAGGAAAAAAATCTGATTCGCCAAAACAAATTAATTATGAAAATTTAATACTCCAATTTTCTTCATGCATATTGACATTAAATTATCTTTTAACAAAAAAATAAATTTCCAATTTTCTTTTCTTTTTTCTTTTTTAATAAACATTTCAAAATCAATTTGATTTTTTATTTAATAAACAGTGCCATCTCTGTTGGAAGAATAAACTATGTCTATAGATGTTTATTCTCCGTTAGAAATTGCACTCTCTAAATTTGAATATTTCTCGGATTTTCAGTGACTCACTTTTCTTGCGATTTTATTCAGTTGAGAGAAATTTCATTGGAACTTTTCACAGATTCAAATTTAGAGAGCACAACTTGAAGCAAATTTCAGAATGATAAATTAATAAATTTTTTGAATGTGTAATAATTTCCGTGAAAAATTTATATACATATATATATATAAAAGTAAAAAGAGAGTTGACACATTGTCACAGTGTCCTGTTGAAATTTATATATATGTACAAAGATTTCTTTTGTTCCTCCTGACATGTCTCTTTATATACTCTTGCTAACGTGAACTCGAGCATTTTTCAGAGATGTTTCTACTTGTGAAGATAGAAACATTTTTTTTTTATTTATAGATGTAAAAAAATCATAAGGTGTTTACAGTTTATTAACTTTACACTAGAAATTTGATTGTTGAACAAAATATACCCTTTAAAAACAAAAAAAATAAAAAATCTGTTAGAACTTTAAATTGGTCTGAGGCAATTGGAATAGTTTTTTTCAAATCAAATTCTATATACTCTCTAAATCTGAATAAATTCACAATCCGACAAAATTTTGGCCTACTTTAGAACTAAAAACTAGATTTTGACATGCTGAATCTGAATCTGACCTCAGAATTGACCCAGCACGTGAGGTTTTTTAAATATTCTAACCTAAAAGTGACTATATTTAAGGTTATGCAACATCAAGAGATAATTTTTTTTTCAAAAAGGTACATTCAGATGCTGTAGTAAAACTTTTTGAAAAAAATTATCTCTTGATGTTACTTGACCTTGAATATGGTCAAAAAAAGTCTTTTTTGCATTTTAGGTTAGAATGTCTCAAAAATCTCACAGGCTGGGTTCCCTAATAACACAAGATACCTTGGGATATATTGATAATATCCCGCAGATATCCTAGGGATGTCCTATGGATATCAAAAGGATCTCTTAAGGATATCCAAAAAAATCGGCGGTTTGGATATCCCATGGATATCTGAGGATATCCACAGGATATCTTCCGGATATCTCTATAGACTTTCATAAATGTCCTCCAGATATCCCATAGATATCGTCAGGATATCCCACAGATATCATCAGGATATCCCACAGATATCATCAGGATATCCCATAGATATCGTTAGGATATCCCACAGATATTTTCAGGATATTCTCAGTATATCTTGTGGATGTCAAGAAGATATTCTCAGGATACTGTTTTTAAAGTCATTATGAGACTACGAGTGAGAATATTCTGTGAATTAAATTTTATATAAATAAAATAAAATGCAACTTGTTTTTCGAGAAAGTTGTTTAATTTGAAAAATTATTAACTAATTTTTTTCTCATTCGTGATTCATTCCTTTATTCATATGCTTAATATTGTCAGAAAATAAATTGGCTTTAAACAATATAAATTCTTCCCCGCAAATAACGAATAACTATTAATATTAATTATACATTAAGTGCATGAGTTTATTTAAAAACTTTGAAAAATGCGTTTCAAATCTTCATTTAAAATAAATTAGAAGCTCATAAGATTTTTGTTTTTATTATATTATTATTCATTATATTAGCTTAACAATTTTAACCTTCAAAAATATATGTTGAGATATTAAATATCCCGTGAATATCCTAAAAATATCCCACGGACATCCTGAAGATATCCCATGGATATCCTGCGATATAATATCCAATAGATATTTTGTGGATGTCTTAGGGATATCCTGTGGATATCCTATGGATGTCCTGTTGATGTCCCACAGACCGGCGGTTTGGATATCCCAAGATATCCTGGGGACCATTCTAGGATATCGACCATTGATATGGATATCCTTTTGTTATGAGGGTTAATTTTGAGGTCAGATTCAGATTCAGCACGTCAAAATGCTTCAGAAAAGTACAGTCTAGTTCTTGGTTACCTTAAATTTTTTTAGGTTTGTTCGTTTTAATTTATGTTTTTCATATTTGATTTAAGGTCAGTTCATAACGCACAACGCATGAAAAATATTTATTAAGTGCGTAATATATAAATTTTGTTCATTTATAATTAAATTTACTTAATTTTTAAAAATCCTTTCTTTTGCCAAATTGTTGATAGTCATTTGAACAATAGAAATAATTAAAAATTTTTAAGTGTTGTGATTATGAACTTACCTTAAATCTGCTGTGACGAACATAAATAAAAGTTAATGTATTTCACTTTATCTCCAAATAAATTTTCTTTCTTATTCAACTGCTCACTATAAATAAATGTTCGCTTCTCTCTTTCTTAAAATTCCTAATAAAATTAATTTGTATACGTAAAAATTCAGTGCAGTGAAGAAATCGATTAATAAACTTGTCAATAAGAGTATGCAGTTATTCTTTGATACCAATTTATAGATATCAAAAAATGATCCCAATTTCCGGATAATTTTCAGAAAATGATACTAATATTTGGATCAATTTGATATCATATATATCGAATCAAAACGTAGTATTCCAAAATGACATCATCAAATTAACAGTAATTTTTAGTACAAAACATAAAAATGCCCCTCTTTTTGATTAAGAATCGCCCATATACCATGGAAATATTTTAACTATATTTAAATCGTTAATAAAAATATTGACTTACAGACAAAAAAAATACAAAAACCAAAAAACATTTGTGACTATTTAAATAAAGTCATAAGTCCGCAAAAGGTTAAATATAAATCACAGAGTGAAGTTCGCTTTTTTTCATTGTTTTGTGATTCGCTCTTCGTATTTATCCTCCGCTTTCTTGTTATAATGAGAAAATGTGAAAGAAAAAGATAGACTTAGGGATGAAAAGGGTTGGGTGAGAGGATTGAGGGGGAAAAAGGAGAGAGAGAGAGACTCTTCTGCCAAAGCAGGTTTGACCCATATTTGCTTGCCTCGCGAACTCGCGACACCGTTTTTCCGTCCACTTCGTGTATTTACGTCGCCGTGTTTAAGTGCCCTTTCGGTTGCCTAGGTAGGCGAGTTTTTCACAAAATTATATTTAACCCTTGTGGTTACCTTTCTTAAATGTTATTATTGGCCTTAAAATTTAACATGAAAAAATTTTATCTTTTAGTAAAAAAAAATTCACGTCTTTTCAAAATGTATCCTGTAAAATCAATGATATGATTAAAAAAATTTTATTAATTTTTACATATCGATATTTTATATATATATTTGTTTTTAATGACACCTTAAGTTTTATTTTCGACTAATAAAAGTCCTAGCTGAGTAAACTTGTGTGTATATATGTATACATTGTAACTGCATTAAAGAACTAAAGCTTATTTCAAGATCTACTTTAAATGCATATAGACTGCTTTTAGTTTCTTACAACCTACAGCAAAGTTTCAGCAAAAGTCACTTATACGAGGTTCAGATATTAAGTCAACGACAGACAAGCTACGCCATAAAAATTTAGAACTTCAGT